CTCCTACCTCCTCATGGCCCTACTCCCCCAGCTCAGACTGAGCAGACAGCGTGCCTCCTGCCTGCCCACGGCCCGTGCCTGCCCCATGCCTGTGTGGCCTCATGCCCTGCTGGGCCCCACGCTGCTGGCCCTGCTTGTGTTTGCACAGCTGATTGTTCCCCTGCTCGGTGTACTGCCTTGCACTTGTCCCTGTTGAATTTCATCCTATTTTTTCCAGTCCATTTCTCCAATTTGTCAAGATCATTTTGAATTCTAATCCTGTCCTCCAAGATACTTGTAGTCCCTCCCAGCTTCGTGTCATCTGCAAATTTAATAAGCACTTTCTCTATTCCATCATCCAGGTCCTTAATGAAAACATTGAGCACACCAGAACCAGGGCAAGCCCTTCACCATCCAAGCAGCCTGACACATGCTGTGCTCACCATGCTCTGCCCAAATGTGATGGGAAAGGCTACCAGAGCTTTGCTGTGTTGGCTGTGCCTCACTGCACCCCAGCTCACATGGGACCTCTCTGCTTTGCTGCCCTGGAGCAGTGCTGGCACCATGGTGTGCTGCCAGTATCAGGGGCTCTGGGGTGAGGCTGGGAGGGAACAGGGCTCATCTCCAGGATGGCTCCAGCTCGAGCTGCCACTGTCTGGCACAGGGCACAGCTCCCACTGTGACCCCAGTGGTCAGTGCGGTCACAGGGGCAGCACAGCAGCCCCTGATGGGATCATCCTCCCCCCTCACAGCTGCCCACCTCCTCTTCCACGGGGTGAGGCTCTGCCCAGCCACATAACTCCCCATTGTGAGGCTGCTCCCTTTGGGCTGGGACTGCTCCTGGGGCTGGATGGCAGGGATCTGGAACCAGCTCCAATCTGGAGCAATCTCGTGTGCCACCTCTGGCTACAGCCATCTCTTTTCTTTAATTGATTGTAGAAAGCAATTTACAAAATACAAACTTCTGCTTGTGCCAAGCCCTGCATGTCCAGGCAAAGCCTAATTTCACAGTAAAATTTCAAGTGCAATGAATGGCTTTTCCCAGCACCAGTCCATGTCCAGGCCAAGAGCTTTGCAGTCTGCATAAGCAGTGCTGAGCAGCCCAGAAATGGCTTTGCACTGCCCTGCAGAGCATGCAGCCCCCTGGGCTGGCTGTTACAATAGCCAGGGCAGCTCTACCAGCACTCACTTTTGGGCTGGTGCTGCCTGGGTTGGCATGGCTGTGTGGTATCGGCTATTGAGGGACAGGGACATCCGAGTCGAGATCAGATGCCAATTTTATTGAGTATACAAGGCATTTATATAGGGTTGTACTTGTATGGCACTTACACAGGGTTCTATTTTTGGTAACAATTTCCCATTGCTTATACACTCTTCATGACATCAGTTACCTGGAAATCATTACAAAGTTTCACAACGTATCTCCTGGTCACTTCTACCCCAGGGAGAAGTTATCTGTGTCTGTCTCTCCCATGATTTCTGTTTGATTAAGTCTAAGATCCTAGGCTCCTCTATCAGTTCCATTGTGCTCTCTATTTTATTCCCCATGGTGTGGGACCACCATGGCTGCAGCCTGGCCTGCAAAGAGCCACAAGCCCCAGCTCTCCATGCAGCCAGCTGGATGATGCAGGGATCCTGCATGGTCCGTGTGGCCATCAGGAAGGGGTCCCAGCAGGGCTGGCCAGAGCTGCAATGATGGGGGCTCAGCTGAGAGATGGTGCTCCCGGGCTCTGGCTCTTTACATGTCAAAGCCATAATTTCATGGTCAGGGTCTAGGAGGTTTGTACACACAGATGCATTAATTCTGCATTTAGTGATACAGGAATAATTGGTGTCACATCAATTAGATCGGTTCTTGGATACTGCAGTGATAAGTGCTGTGCAAAGGCCTCTGGGCTGCAGGATGTGAGGAATTCCAGCAGTGAGCAAGCCTGGTGGGGCTGGCAGCAGCAGGCAGAGTGAGGCTGGCAGGGACGTTGGGTGCTGAGAGAATGGTGGAGCGTCCAGCAATTTTGGCCTTTGCAGAACAGCAAGGCCTGGGGCTGCTGTGCTGAGGGCTGCTGCACAGCCTGGGGGTGTAGGCCTGTGCTTGGAGAGGGGCTGGCAACTTGGCAAACCTCTGAGCCTAATGTCCCAGTCCATCAAGGTGATCCACTGCACCAAGCCACTAGGCGCCTGGTCCAGCATCATCAGCTGTATCCCTCATCCCTGTGGCTTGGCTTTGCACACAAGGTTTGCCAGCTCGCTGCTGCCCGCCCCACCTCCTGACGAGGCTCAGGTGGGTCTGGAGAAGCGTGGAGACCCCCTGTGCTCACACTACCACAGTACAGATCAGCGCTGTCAGTCCCATCCCCACTGTGAACTAGGCAGAGGTAATTTGCAGATGACAAATATCCCTGACAGTAAATATTTTTCCCACCCTCATCTTTCTACAAGCAGATAAGGTGGCAGCACTGTAGCAATACAGTTGCTGGAGGGAGACAAACTCTTTGGCAGACTTAAAAGTCTATTGTGTCCCCGCAATTATTTATAGATAAAGAGAAGAAAGCCAATAAGCAGAGAATGGAGCTGCACAACTGCATTTGTTATGACGATGATGATGTTATCTCTCCCTCACACCCACACACGCACATCTCCAGTGCATGGAAACTCGCTGCTGGCAACAATCAAATCCCCAGCCAGGACAAGGCAGGACAGACTGGAGGCCCTCTCATCACTGATTTATGCCCAGCCTGTTTTCCCACAGTGAACCCACCACACAACTCCTGTGGCTTGTCTGGAATAGCACCTGCAGGGGCCCAGGTGGTTTCTCTGTTTCTGGCTGTAGGATGTGGAGATGAGGTGGTCTTTGTCCCCATAAACCAGCCCCTGGCATGCTGGATGCCTTGTGGTGAGGGGGGTCTGGGGCTGCCTGCAGGGAGTCTGGGACTCACCAGTTCAAGCAGAAGGACCCCAGAATGTGGGCGCTCCCCACTGATGGGAGGGTGCAGGAGGACCCTCTCAGGTTTCCCAGCTCTGCATGGCCAGGACCTCCTCTCCCATCCCAAACTACTACTGAGAACAGAAATGTGGGTGTTTGGAGGGATCTGGGATTAGAAGACTTGGCAGGCAAGAGTGATGGAGGTCACTGCCAATAAGTGCATTTCTGCAACCAGTGGAGCAGAGACACCCTGAGAGAGAAACATTGATTGCAACATGGGAAGAGGTTGGGAAGCACTGTGTTCTCCCTTTTCAGTGAGCACTGCAGGTGGAGGAGACTAGGGGCCTGACAGGGCTGGACCCACAGAAGGGAAGAACAAGGAAATTGAGGGGTCAAGACCTGGAGTACCACTGAGCCAGGCACCAGGGTCCCTGGGTGACCTGTCACATGTGTGACACTGGGGCCCTTCACCAGCCCATGTCTCCCCATGTTCCAGGGTGCTTCATGGCATTGCTTGGCTCCTGCTGGGGCAGAAGTCCTGCACCTCTCCAGAGCATGCACAGCACTGCTCCTCCCCAGGGAGGAGGCAGGAGGTGTGGGGGCTCCTGCCAAGTGCACTGACAGTGCCCTGTCTCAGTGGGACCCCAATCCTGAGAAAGCCCCAGGCAGGGCAAGCTCTCCAGCTGGTGAGATATTGCCCAAGACAGCAACTGGGAACCCATAACTGGACTGGAGAGTGGGATGAATTTTCATTGCTTCCTCATAATAAGAGGACAGGAGTAAGTGACTAGTACAGTCCGTTCACTCGGTAAAGATTTATACAATCACTTCATCCGGTAATTGGTATTCTGGGGAGAGAGAGTGAGCTGCAGCTCCAGCATCCGCCTCTATTTGTTTTATCTCTGTCTTCCTCTCTTTCTCTCCTCTTTTCAGAATGAGTAATTCTGTCCCTCACAATCCCATTTAAACAGAGCATTTGCAGAGTGAATAATTAGTTACATTCAATTAGGTCTCACGCGCTCTCCCTTCTCACTTTGGGGGACAGACGCGCTAATGAGATGGTACATGTCTGACACGCGGGAGTGGGCACTGAACATGCTGCATGCCAGCAGGGAAGGGTCAGCCTTGGGGGAAGTGGGGAGATGGCCCCAGAATGTTCAGCCTGCCACCTGGGGAGACAGTCCTTTGGAAACCATCTGGGGCCAAAGACTTAATGTTTGGGGCCAAAAACTTTGCATCTGTGGCCTGAATAACACCTTCTCCTCCAGCAGGAGAGGGATCACATCTGTCCCCAGAACTGGGTGTTCTCTGGGCTGGTGCCAAGGGAATGCTGTCCAGGCTGAAACTCCCACCAGCACTGCTGGGAGTGCCAAGCCCTGAGAGGAGGGAAAGCTGCTGCCATGTTTTTATCTCCCTTATTAAACCTAACATTAGGTTTTAAGAGGAGCCTTAAATAATGTGCTACTGCTTGTACAAGCAAAGTTGCTCCATGCTCCAGCTGCTCCTGCTCTGGGATTTATGGCCTTTCTCATGCTGTGTTGCCTGTGTTCAGATAGTGGGTGGGTCACAGGCTGAGGCTGCTCCCAGTACCTAAAGTCTGCAGTGGGCCCAAGTGCCACCTCAGCCCCACGCCCGTGGTGCTACACCGCAGCACCCCACAGTGCTGCCCTGCAGTGCGATGGACCCCACCTATGCATTTTACTGCCAGAGCAGTGAGGCGAGGGCGTGGGGGCACGGCGGGGATCAGCACAGCTGGTGACAGCTCTTCCTTCCCTCCTCTGGTGAGAGCCTCTGCCTTGGGAGCACCCGCCCATTCCCAAAGCATTCCCGGAATATCAGAGCTGGGAGCGCCGGCCCCGGGGTCGTCGGGGTCGCTCACGCACAGAGGGCAGAGAATCACGTTTAATCACACGGGCGGAGGGTGACGGAGCGGCCGCTCCCGCACGGACGGGTGGGTGTGCGGGGGAGCCGCGGGAGGGGGTTCCGCTCGGGGCAATCCCGTGGCCAGAGCCCGCCGGAGCCGGGGCGGGGCGGGCGGTGCCGGTGCCGGTGCCGCCCCGCGCAGCCCGCGCCGGTCCCGCAGCACCATCTCCCGGCCAAAGTACACCGCTGGCTGCGCTCCGGCCCCGCCGCCGCCGCCATCCCGGCCCGGAACACAGCCGTGGGCCCCTGGTCCTGCCTTTGTTGGTCCCACGGAGCCCGGCAGCGCCGGGCGGCACGGAGGGACCGAGGCCGGGCCGGGATGCCCTGTCCGGCTACCAGCCGGGCCCTGCTCCAGCACTTCCACAGCGCCCCAGACGGGGGAATGAGCTCTGCCGTGGTGACTTCACACTAGCAGCCCCCTTTCCCAGCCCTGGCTTCTCCAGCACTCAGGGAGACGGCTCTGTGGGGTCTTCTGTCAGCAGTGACACTCTGCTGTGGCCAGGGGCTGCACTGGGATCTGCAGGGGCTCAGCAGGCGAGCAGCCACGCTGGGCTTCATTGCATCACCTGCACAGGAAGCCGGATGGGGTCTGTTCCATGTCCCCATGCAGGCAGCCAAGCCTTGCTCCACAAGGGCAGCCCAGCGCAGGCGACCAGACCAGGAGTTGTGGTGGTATTCCCGTAGGGTGGTCATGCCATGGTCCACTGCAGCATCACATCATTTGCAGACAGGCCAGATGCCAGATTTCCTCCCCAGCTGGAGAGGGGGCAGAGGAGATGATGCTGTCCCCAGTCTGTGCTCTTGTCAGAGGCAGTGCCCTGCGCCTTCACAGCATCTCCTGCTCCGAGATGCGGCTCTCCTTGCCATCCTCCTGGGCCACAGGCTGGCCCCTGAATAGGGTCTCCTGCACAGGCAAGACATTCTCATCCTGCTCCGTGGGCTGCTGGGTATCTGGGTTCTCTCCGGGCTCCCCAGCCTCTATCTGCACAGGGGCAGGGGTCAGGGGCAGACAGCTACATTCCCCCGCTCTGCATCTGTGTCTTTCCACAAGCTCCTGTTAGATTCCCATGCAGGCCAGAGTATTGGTCCCTCCCAAACACTCAGCACTTGCCAGCAGCACGCTCAGGTTGCCCCAGCCCTTGTCCTGCCCCAGCCAGGCAGCCTAGTTCAGCTCCCACCCGTCCTGTATTGCAAAGTCACAGCCCCTGCTCTGCTGCTGGCACATCCCCAGCTGTGCCCACGAGGGATCCCAACCCACTGCTGGAGGGGGCTCAAGGTAGACTCACCTCTTTCGGCACACGTCGCCTGGAATCTGAATGGAAAGAGGGACAGAGAAGGCAATGTTCAGCGGGAAGTTCTCCTGCCCTGCGGGGTGCTTCACAAGGTCAGAGCCAGGGCTGGTGCTGCTGCACCACAGGTCCTGAAGCTCATGTTATGCCTGGGGTCACAGACTGGGGGTCACAGCAGGAACCAGACTGGATTAATGGGGCACTGGTGCTGTCCTCCATGAGCTGGCCCAGCTCAGGCTGCAGCAGTGCCAACACACCTGCTCCCAATGACAGAGCAGGACTTGGCAAACCCTGTCCTGGTGATGTCCCCAGAGAAGCTTCCCCACTCTCAGCAGAGCTACCGCTGTCTTCCCTGGCTCAGCCCTCCGACCCTTTATGGCCCCACCGGCCAAGGTTCTCCCTCCCTTGTCCACGGCAGCAGCTCACATGCTTTAGCCCCTCACCTGTGTGGACCAGGCAGTAGATGCAGACACCCATGAGGCACGTGACAACTGCAGCTGTGATGGGGATCAGCACTGACAGCGAGGAGCGCCTGCTCGACTCTGCAGGAGGACACGGGATCAGTGAGGCACCCACGGGACACCCACACAACACGGAGCGCTCCGCTCCAGCCCCACAGGGATCCCTCATGGACACTGAGAGGCAGGAAGGCATCACACTAGCCATGCACTCTCCCAAAACCACCATGCATGAGGCCAGCTTTTCTGAGTGCTGCAGGAGCTGGAGCCCTATGGGGCTGTCTGCTTTGCGCTGGATCAGCCCTGGGCACCAGGCACCTACCGCAGATCACATCCGAGGAGTTCGTCCCTTTCACCTTCACCACCAGCCCCTTTTCCTCGCAACTGCAGGGAAGAACAAGACCATGAAACCACAGTAGTAACTCAGGGAATAGCTGGGGCTGGGCAGGCATCCGAGCTTCCCCAAAATGCATCCTGCTCTGAGTCTGCCAAGCTCCAGCAAGGTGAGCAGGGTGATCCCCACCAGACACAGCCTGATGGGGACAGCAGGTACAGAGCAGGGTACTAACCCAGGGGCTTGGCCTGGAGTTGCTGAAACTGCTGAGGATGGGAATAAGTTTAAGGACAAGACATGGGAAGAGCAGACCTGCCCGGTCAGAGAAGCCCCCAGGGCTTGAGCACTGTAGCTATGACAGAAAAGCTCAGATAGGCTACAAGTGGCTCTATGGGGAAGTAATTTCTGGGCACAGATAAAAGCAAAGTGAAATCCAATGGCTGGCAGCTGAAGCAAGACTAATTCAGCTTGGAAATAAGGCTCATGTTTCTACCAGGAACTGCAATTAACCCTCAAGCAGCTTTCTAAAGACAGGGATGACCTGCCAGTTCATGGCATCCTCAAAGCCAAACTCCCCATGGGGAGGGCTTGTGCTTTGGCTGATGACTACAGCCACAGAGAACACTGGGAGGGAGAACCTGAACAGGGCATGGGGCATTCCCATAGATCCTGATCTCTTGCTTCCAGCACAGATGACAGCATGGAGACACCCTAAGGGACAAGCAGTCTGTGCACATACTAAGAGACAGACACAAATGCTGAACGTCTGCTTGACCTCAGTCAATGCTGCCCTAGACCGCACTGTGCTCCTAGCCCTGTTCCTCTCACTCTGGCCCTACACCAACTGCTGTGTCCCTCAGAGACCAGCCCAGCTGCCCAGTCCCCAAGGCCACCAAGAAAACTGACAGCAAAGGATGTGCTCACTGGGGCTGGTGGAAGGACATAGTCTGTACTCAGACAATACCTTGTCCAGGGGTGGCACGGCTCGGTTTTAGAAGAGACGTTGGAGAAGGTGCCTTCTGTACAGGGTTCACAGGGGGATGACATCCCGTCCATGGCCTTGGCTGAAGAGGAGCAGAGATGGCAGGAAGGTCAGTAGGGTCTGTGAGGGGTGAGGGCCTGAGGGGGCAAGGGGCTACAGAAGCCAGGTGTGCAGCATGTCCTGTGGCAACAGCACAGCTCTCCCAAAGTCCTGCCAGGGGGCACTCTGTTGGGGGAACCTCCATTCCCTGAGGTCAGTGCTGACAGGGCATCAGTCCTGTTGAATGGGAACAGCTTGTCAGATTTACCTGCCACAAAGCCAAAGCCAAGCTGGCAAGGCTGATTCTCCACACAGGTCTGGCAGCTGATGTCAGAGCAGTGCATGCCAGCCTGGCACTGGCACACCGTGTTGTGTGTTGCATTTCCTTGCACCTTCACAATGAGGCCAGCATCTGGGCAGAGGGAACATGGACAAGGTGAGACACCAAGGAGGGGAGCCAGTCCCCACCAGTCCCCACAGGCTGGGGTCAATGGTCACAGGGAGCACTTACTGTCTTCACAGATATCATGAGGAGCACAGTGCTTCTCCTTGGTCCAGCTTGGCTGATAGTGCCCACTCTCACAGCGGGCACAGACAGAGTCTTCTGTTGTACTGCACTCAGAGACCAGCTTTTCCCCTGCAATAGAGCCTGGTGAGGAAGGGGCAAGGGGGCTTTCCCTCTCTCCAGACAGCACCTCTACCAGCAGGAGAGGGGAATGGTGGCAGCTGTGGATGCCAGGACTGCTGCAGCATTCTGCATGGAAACCAGGGCTCAAGGAGCCAGCTTGCCTGATGACCACAAACTCTGCAGGGGCCAAGAGAGGAGGAAGGACTGTGGGGTCACTCCAGAGACTGGGAGATGACCTGACAGTGACAGCAGGAGCTAGCAAACACCATCACAATTTGCTAGAGCCAGTGGCAGCACTCTCCCCAAAGCTTCTTCTGCCATGGGATCCTGTAGCTGCAAGGGCACAAACAGTCCCAAGAGAGCTGTGGCACATTTGGTGAGGTCTAAGGGGTCTCCTTGAGCACCCACAAGGTCCCAGTTGCTCTATCACTGAGATGACACAGGGAGGTGAAGCTGTCAGCATTGCTGGCAATGAGGTGGGGGGCTTCATCATACCAAGCAAAGCTTGCCCCGCTTGGCCAAGCAGTAGGTCCTGGCACAGCCCAGTTGAGAGGTCCAGAGGAAAGGGTTTCCATACCTGGCTGACACCGGTTGCAGCATCTGCCCTTGTACATATACTGCTTATCAAAGCACGTTAAGGCATCACCACGTTCCCCGCACTGGAAGAAACAAGACCTGTGAATTCATATTCAACGCTCCCACATCACAACGCTTCCACAGACACATGTGTGCTAATCTGCACCCTGAGGTGAGGCCTTCTTCACACCACTCTTCCCACACATCCACTAACCACAGACCACAGCAGCCACCCATGCTGCCTGATGGCATCAGTGTTGTCTCTGAAGTGGGGTGGCAGTGATTCCGGTAGAGCTGCTCCAAATTTCCCCGGATTTCCTACCACAAGGCGATTGCACATCACCCTGTGCCCTTGCCAACAGTACTGCAGTCCCTTACAGAGGGAGCAGCGATCACCAAGCTTTCACGCCCAGAGCACTGCCAGCCCCTTCCCAAGGCTGACACACCGTCCCTGAGGGACAGGAAAGCCCCAGTCAAGTGCATCACCCATGCAAACTTTGCCAGAGCCAGCCCTTGCTCCTCCTGGCAGGGGACTACCAGCACAGGGAAGGGTAAAAAGGAAGCAGAGAACGAGTTCCCGGGCAAGACAGTGTGCAAGATGGCACCGGAGCACCGTTCCTCTCACAGAGCCAGCCCCTCGCTGCTCATCCCCAGTAGCACGGTAGCTCCCGGCAGATCCGCCTGGCCATCCTCTGGAGCGGGACGGGGGCTCCGGCAGAGAGAGAGGGAGAAGAGGGCCGGGCCGAGGGTGCCATGGACGAGCACCCAGCAGGGTCGGGCGCTGCCCACCCCCTGGGCACCTCGAGCAGCCCCGGCTCGGGGACAGCGATGAGGCCGCGGGGCCGTCCCAGCCGTCACACCCGCCCACATGGAACCGAGAAAGGAAAGAAGCGCCGGCAGCCGGTTCCAGAGCCCCGCCCGATTGGGGGTCCCGACCGAGGGTCCCGGGGCTCGCCGCTGCCCGTCCAGGCCCGTGGGGACCCCCGGGCCAGCGCAGAGCGGGGCTGGGTTGCCGGGCCCGCGCCATCGGAGGAAAACGAAAGCGCGTGGATAGAGGACCTGGAGGCGATCCCAGAGAGTCCAGACAGCTCCTCCGCCCTGGCTGGGTCCCGGGACACCGCACCGACGGACCCCACGCGGCAGCGCCGCCGGGTCCCGCTCACGCCGCCCGCGCACAGCCCCGGGACTCCCCGGAGCGGGGCGGCTGCGCCGGGGCGAGCGGCCGGAGCGGCCGGAGCGTGCCCCTTCCCGGAAAGCCCGGCGGGACACAGACACAGGGATGGAGGGATCCCCTCCGCCTGTGCCCCTGTCCCACTCCATGCCCCTATCCCGGCCCCACTCACGTCCAGCAGCGCCGCGCAGAGCAGTCCCAAAAGCCCCAGCCGGTTCATGGCGCTGCGCCCCGACCGCCGCCACCGCCGCCTTGCTAAGAACGCCTCGGTCCGTTCCCGCCCAGGAAGGGGCGTTGGGCCGCCCGCCCCGGGGCTTCCCCGCCGGCCCCCCGAGCCCCGCGCTGCCCGCCCGGCCTGAGGCGCTGCCACAGCCGGGAACCCCCGGCCCGGAGTCACGGCCACAGGCAGGAGGGGAGGGGAGCGCCTGTGCAGCCCCCCGGCTAGAGCTCCAGGTTTCACTTCTTCTTTCCCACAGCAGCTCAGAGAGGTTTTGTTGTTTTGTTGGGCTTTTTTTGTTTGTTTGTTTGTTTTATTTAGCCTTTCTAGAGCCGCGGAGCTGTAGCACTGGAGGGCCCCCACGACTGTGGTCAGGGAGAACCCCTCTGGCTGCAAGCCCGGAGAGCCCCCAGAGCTGCCAGGAGCCCTGAGCTCTGCGGAGTGTACCGGCAAACACGTCAGGCATGAAAGGGGAAGGGGCAACAGTGCTGTGATCTGGCTCTACCTCCGTTTCAGTTCCCCAGACGAGTTCCCAGCAACCCCAGGGAATTTCCAGGATCCCTGCCCGCTCCGGAGACGTTCCCTGGACTCCTCCTGGCATTGCGGTGGCTGGGCAGCGAACGGCGGCTCCTCAGCGCCCCTCGGTGCGCCGGTCCCTTATGGCAGTGCCATGATGTCCGAGAGGTCACACCGCAGCAGCCGCCTCCCGGTCACGGTCACGACCTCGGCCCCAGCTGGAGGTTGGTGGCCACAACCGGCCGCCGCCGGGTCACAGCTGCTCCCGGGGATAAGGGCGGCGAGAACTGGGAGCCGAGTGCTCTGGATTCCCCGGCGCAATGTCACTTCCCAGAACTGACTCACTCAGGAGCACGAAGGGTCCCTGGGGAATCTCGAGGGCAGAAGGGGAGGCCGCGGCGGAAAGGGGATTTCTGGGCCCGACTCCCGTGGGCCTGGCCTGGGAAATCCCCGCGGCGCCGGGCCCTGCCTGAGCAGGGTCTCCCGTGGCCACGGGCTGTGAGCGCCCCTTGCTCCCGGTGCCGGGTGGCAGAGCGGCCCGGTGCTCCCGGTCGGCAGGAGCTGCTTAGGTGTGAGTCCCTACGAGACCCCCCGGTCCCGCTACTCGCACAGTGGGACAGAGTACAGGGGCAGCTGCGGCTCGGGGCGGCGCCGGGGCTGGGGATGCAGCACGGGGATATCGCCCCTTGAACGGGGCAGGGACATTCCGGTCCTGGTCCTGGCCTCGGGTCCGGTCTGATCCCGATCCCTGCCCCAGTCTTGATGTCCTGATCTGATGATCCCGAACCTTGTACCGATCCTGACGCCTGTCCCGGTCTCGTTCCAAAGCCCTGTCCAGTCCTTGTCTGATCCTGAGCCCTACTCCTGTCCCTGCCACAATCTGATCCCGATCCCGGTCCCTGTCACGCTCTGATCCCGATCCTGGTCCTTGTCACAGTCTGATCCTGATCCCCTGTCGCTGTCACACTCTGATCCCGATCCTGGTCCCTGTCACAGTCTGATCCTGATCCCCTGTCGCTGTCACACTCTGATCCCGATCCTGGTCCCTGTCACAGTCTGATCCCGATCCTGGTCCCTGTCACAGTCTGATCCTGATCCCTGGTCCCTGTCACACTCTGATCCCAGTCCCTGTCACAGTCTGATCCCGATCCCAGTCCCTGTCACAGTCTGATCCTGATCCCGGTCCCTGTCACTCTCTGATCCCGATCCCGATCCCGGTCCCTGTCACACTGATCCCGATTCCTCCGCCTCCCCCGCACGAGGTCCGATAGCGCCACCCAGTGGCCGTCTGGCCGCCGCGGTACTACAATTCCCGGCGTGCCTTGCAGCGCCGTACCGCATGTCATGCCGGGAGCCGGGGCAAGTGGCCTTCGCCTCGGCAGGCATGGCGGCACGCTGCCGCGCCGTAAAGTGCGATACATCGCCATAGCGACCGTGCTCCCCCCGCCTTCTCTTTGCGACGGCGCCGTGTGGTAGCGGCGGGTGGCGTCTTTGTCCTGGCGGCGGCGGCCTGACGGGGCTCCGGGTCCGGGCCAGGACCGGCGGTAAGTCTGCGGGTCCGCGGCCCGGTACGCGAAGCGCCCTAACGAGAGGCTTTCGGCAGCGAGCCCTGCGAAAGGCCCTGTCCTCTCGGCTGGGGCTGGGCCGGGTGTGCCTCGCGGCCTGCGGGTGGGCCGCGCCTCCGCCTCGCGTCCGGGCAGCGCGGGATCGCCGAGATTCGATGGGGCTCGGTGGGGCTGCTCCGAACTCGCGGTGTAGCCGGTGCGCGGGCTGAGCGGCGCTGGCAGCGCCCAGGCCCGTGCGGAGGTAAGGGAGGCACGGGTGGGAGCGGCGGCCGCCGGTGAAGCTCCCGGCCGGGCGTCCCTCCCCCTGCCCCAGGAGCCGCGGCGGGCCCGGGCTGAGCGGGGCCCCGGGGCAAGGGCGGCGCGTTGTGACGGCGGGAGGAAGGCGGAGGCGCTCTCCGGGTTACCGTGTGGGCAGCACCGTGTCTGCCCAGGTGCGGGGGGCCGGGATGGGCGATGCCAGCGCTGCCCCAGCAGGGCCTCCTGGCTTTTGGGAGAGCGCGGGTCTGCTGCGAGGGAAGCTCCTTGCTCCTCGGCACCTCTGCCTTCCGTGCCCGCTGTTTCTGCTTTGTCCCCGAACTTCTTGGAGACTTCTGTTGTGTTTCGCTTGTAGCAAATTAATTTCGATATCCCACTCCAGAAGAGTCTTGCTTCCTGAAGCTATAGCGCTATTAATAAACAACTCTGATTTGAAGTATAAGATTTTTAGAGAGATGTGGCTTCAATTGATTTCCAGAGGATTTGTTGGCTCATGAGGTGCCGTGGGCTATCCTGTCATAGGACCCATAGTTATTTTGCGCGGGGAATTGGCACCTTTAAACTGTCCCGGTGCCTCTCTGGCTGCATTCATACAAGACTTAATGTGGGAATTAGGTGTGCACCTGATGTAGCATGCCTAGCGTGGGACAACATTCATTTATTCTGATCTTGTGATCGCTAAATGGCCCTTAACTATGTAATCTGCCGAGTGCAAAATGGTAAGAGGCAGTGAATTATTTTAGATGAGAGTTCTGGGGTAACTCATCTGATTTACTGATTGTTTTGAAGTGGGAAAATAGCTCTATGTTTTTCTTAATGTGGAAAGCTCTTGCAGCCTCTTCCTCAGACACAACCTGCTATCCCCGCCCCTAAGGAACACAAAAGGGAATTTCTTACAGCTTTTTATACTGAAAGTGAGATGTCCTGCCAGCAGTTACAGGCCTGTTTGACACCTGTTTACCACGTGTGGCTGTGTGCTGCATCCTGCTCCAAATGGGAACTTGAGCTAGATGGTGCCTTCCATGTTTTATTGCCACTTACTCATTTTGAGGGAATTTTGAAAGCTTCTCTACCCTCAACTGTTGAGAACTTGAGTTGCAGTAGTGGAATAGCCAGTGCTTCCATGTAAAAAATTGGGATTTGGTACTTTTAATGGGGAAGATATAACTGTGTATGTGTGTGGACAAACTTGGCAGGGGGATTGGGACAAATGTGATAGAGAAGAATAATAATTTTGTTGGATTTTGGTTTGGGTATTGAGGTTTTTTCCTCTCCCTGGTTCTGACAGTTAATTTTGAAAAGTTTATTAGACAGGGAAGTGTTCTCTGCCTCCCATCTCTGCAGGGTTTCCTAAAAAGGGGGAAGGGTGATACAAATGTGAAGTCAATTGGTCTTTAAAGGATAAATAAATACATTTGGTGTTTCAAATCTGGAGTAGATGTATTTTTCATGCCAGTTAAGTGTTGCAAAAGTATTCATATAGAGCCGTCTTATATATTTTGACATTTGATTTATTTATTTACAGATGACGTTTAAATTGTATTTACTCTAGGGTACTGTTAGGGAGTATCTTGGTTGTAGACATTGCATGATTAAAAAGAGAAATTTCTGTTGATCATCTTTCTTTTTCCAGGCTTCTTGCATGTTACAAGCAGAAAATCCCATCCTGCATTCCTGTAGGTGAATGCTTAGGAAGTAGAACAGTTTTATTAAATAATTGTCAAACTTTTAAGTTCACCTTGAAAGTTTCAGTGTTATTAATTTCTTTAAGCTTTATTCAATGGTGAATTTTAAAGCAGAAAGTCTGAATCCTGGGGATGGTGGTTTTTATTAGCTTTGTCAGTGTTTGTTACGTTACTGTTTTTTTTGCTGGGGTGTTTTTTTTATTTGTTTGGGTGAGTTTGTGCAATGAATGCTGCTGACTGCTCCAGCTGTGTGCAGGGGTGTGGGCTAAGGGAATGTGCTTTTGCTGCATGAGGGAGGTGAGGAAGGGTGCAGCATTTACCTGGGGGTGGTTAAATTCCCAGCTATGGACCCGCCTGCTGTGGGAGCTGACATCTCCATGGGGACAAGGGTATGCTGTCTAATAGAGATGCAGATGAGAACCTGTGCTTTCTGGGATTGGAAAACTGAGATTTCACGCCTAGGGAAGTGATCCAGGTGTGGTTACTTAGGAGTATTTCAGCAGTAGTTCCTGATACCTCATTCCAAGCCCTACTGGAATATTTGTGTGCTGTTATGCAATGTTGCAATGAGTATTTCCTTTCATTAAAATATTGCATAAATTTCAATACTTCTTGTCAGTGGATTGAAGAACTAGATGTGACAACAATGGGTGTGTTGGAAAGCTTAAAGTTAAGGCGTTTTAGTGGAAAATGAGTTTTATTTGTATCTTAGTTTAGAGTTAAACCATTAAAACCTATCTGCAAAATAATTAGGCTTGCTACATTTCAGTATTACAGAAAAGCTCAATCAGAATGCTGCAGTGTTTTTCCCTGACCTCTGTGTCCCTCGTATTAAGATTTCTCTGGAGTGAAGTTTGCGTCAAGCAGACCCAGTTGGCTTCTAGTCTGCAAAGCTGTTAAGTTTAATCTTGTTCCAGTTTAATTTTAATGTCATGGATTGAAATTATATGCATGGCCATTTTTTTTTTTTTTGCGAAGAGTTGGATTTGGAACGAAAGCAAAATGGCTCGAGGACGCAAGAGCAATAGCATCAAACAGAGCGACTTCACTAACAGCACCAATCCTCAGGATTTAGAGAGAAGACTTTTTGTCGGCAATTTGCCCACAGACCACATGACTCGTGAAGAAATGGAAGAGATATTTTCAAAATATGGCAAAATCAGGGGTTAGTATATTATCTTATGCCTTTTTGTGGCAGGGATTTCAGTGAGAAATATTGCTTCATGCTTGTCAAATGCTATTTGATGATGATGAGAGGAGTGACCAATGTTGTTCCTAAATAGTGACCTTTTAATGATAATTTTCTCTGCCTGCGTTTTCTCTGGAAAAGTGATTGCTTCAGTACAGCTCAAACGTAATGCAAATATATCAGCTGTGTTTTAGCTTTTAGGGTCACAGTGTGATGTCACAATACTCTTTCATAGCCTCTTAATCAAATCTTGGTCACTTCGTGGGCTGTATTTTGGTCACTGCCTTTTCAGAAGGAACTTGATCAGAGTCTTTGAGCTCTGCATTTTGATCCCTGGTGGATTTTATTTTCCCAGGAAGCTTGCATAGTGGTTTCTGGGTAGAGTGCAGCTGTTGGGGTTAGGATGGCCGGGTGTGGGTCAGCACTGTCCGTGGTTGTAACCGGTCTTGCCCTGCTGTTAACTCTTGCAGCCCTCAGCATGTACCATGGCTATGGGTTCGTGCAGTATGACCGTCTAGAAGATGTCCAGGCCGCTCTGGACGGTGAGAAGGGTCGCCTTTATAAAGGGTATAGATTAGGTAAGGAAAACTGCTCCTCGTTCTCCTGACCCCAGCATGCGTTCGGGAGAAAGAGTGCTGTTGTTCTAAAGCCCTCTGGAAAGGTCACAATGTGACGTTTGTCTGGCCTTAGTCTCAATCACTTTACTCAGAATGTATTTGCCTCCTGAGTTCCTGCTGTGTGCTTCACCTGCAGTTTGGTTCACCTTGCTGCCTGGGTCTTACCCTGAATTTTTATGTGTTAGTCTTGGGAAAGCTTTGCCAGCCTGTGTAAGAAACTGTGCAACAAGTAAGCCCTGGAAAGGGATCATTGAAATGTCCAGCACAGAATTTAATAACATTTGTAAACCAAAACTGGGCTTCATCTTGACGTGCTCAAAGGAATTGGTCACAGCACTTAGCGGCTGGTTGACTAAGTAAACTTAGCTAGGATTTTTGCACAAGTGGAGCCAGCCTTTAAGCAGTGCTATAAATACTGGGTGCTTTAAAAAGGATATTTTCATAAAGATGAAGATAATTCTGCTAAATGTGCTGGGAGCAGACTTAAACGGAAATGAATGGTTAGAAATCCACGAGTAATCTTTTAAATGCAAGGAAAAAATTACTTTCAAAGTAAGCCTATGATAATTTGAAGAAAAACAGTTTGACTTAAAAAAGAATGACAGGAGGAATAAATAGTAACCAGTGGGAAGGTGTATGTACAGCAAAAAGAGGAGCCTGAAGATGGAAGTTAAGGCAAATAGACAAGAAGGGTAGAAGGATACAAGAAGAAATGATGTCCAGCATTATCCAAGTGTAAAGGCTTAAATAGGAACAACTTTGGCTGTTTTAGAAGCTAAGGGTAATTGACTGGCAATGATAAAATTTCTAACTGAGAAGACCAGTTAATCTTTTTGCTGTCTGTTTTTGAAGAGGCAGGAAGTGTGCTTAATGTAATTTCCATTTCAATAGCAAAACAAAAAAGGTAAAACTGCAGCTACCAAAGCTAGACTCTCAAAAGAATTAACATCAGTGAGGCTCAGTGAACTGCTGACCTGTGTTAGTGGTGTTTATGCACAAGCCTTGGAAAACTAGGGAGTTTGCAGGGAGCTGGTGGAGTGCTGCAGGTGAGCCAATAGGCAGGGTAAATGGGATGAGCCTGGCATCAGTGCCTGGGAACAAAGGGATTCTTTCACCTGACACTGATGAGAAGGCAACTGATTAATGTCCATCAAAATAAATCCTATCTTAGTTACTCTTAAGGTACTGCAAGCTCTAGGGCTGGAAGCAGCAGTGTTAATGTCCAGATCGCTGTAAAGTGTTTGACTTGATAAGAAATGAGAACAGTTAAAAACAAAAGAGTTAAGTGGATTTCAAGTGAATCTAGAATGGAATAGATGTAACATAGATGGAATTTCCAAGTGCTTAGAGTGGTGGTCTGGAAAAACAGTCCTGGCCATACAGAGCTTTTGTAAGTTACTTGGAGAGAAAAACATGTTTTAAAAAAAGGATGAAATAAAGAAGATTGAGTCACTGATGGTGAAAGGACCTGGACTTCCTATCCTGGATGCAGACAGACCTGAACTTTAAGTGAAGCTGACAGGGAAGGTCTGCACCCAGCCAGAGTGCTTTGGTCATCCTTGGCTGTGCAAAACACAGGTGTTCAAGTAGGAAGGTTTTGGTACCTGTGAGATTTTGCTGCTGGAAGAGTGCTCAGTTTTGGTATGCCTGGTTCAAAAAGGATAATGCTGAATTGAAAAAGCTTTGGAAAAACCTGACAGAGGTTTAGAATTAAAGAACAAGCCCAAGCAAAAACCTCAAGAGAAAGGAGTGATGTGATCTTCGTGTAACAGACAGACTTGGGGATGAGGGTGTTTTAGTGTAGTAGGCATAGGTGTGACAATGCCTTAAATGTGAATAAAGACTTTTCTCTAACAGCACAGTAATTGGCTTCTGGAGTAATTTATTGGATCTGTGGTGGTTTCTGTGCTCTGAAGACTTTTAAATTGGAATTGGATGTTTTGCTAGAAGATAAGTACTAGTTCAGTGCCACTGCTGCGCTTGAGATAGGTGGATTCCAGAAACTCCTGTCACCTGTGGTTGTTCAGAAGGTTACACTGTGTGATTACAGTGGCCCTGTCATCTCAAAATCCTACGGGACAGAAGACTTTTTATTTGGGCTTTTTTCCCCTGAAGTTTTGTCAGTGTTCAAATACTTAACTTGTAAATGCTGTTGGCATTAAATAAAATGTTACTAAATGTGTTTTGCACAAGAGAAGGATCCCTGTCAAAGCTTTTTATTTCTTCTAGTAAAATATTTTTGTGCAGATTTAAATACTTTTTATTTGGACGAAATGTATGATACTGAGTGTAAAAATCATAATAGGTTTCTTCAATGGCATCTTAAAACAGAAAATAAAAACAATCTTAAACCAAAGAAAGCAGCTAGTGTCTTGCTTAAAGATAACACTTGACTTTAAGGGGAAAAATTATCAACTAAAAAATAAATGCAAGGAGAACAGTTACTTCAGTTATGCAGCCCGAGTATTAAATACAATCGTTAATAACAAAATAAGGTAAAAAGTTTTGGGAGAGTTTAACTCTGATGTAGCATTATACAAGTGTTTCCACAAATGCACAGAAGAGTTTTCATATCTTTAATAGTAAAACTAGAGAATAAATGTCCTTCAGATGTAGTTTGGAACAGTAGACCCTGCAGCTATGTTTGATCTTGGAGAGGTGCTTGGGGTCCAGTCAGTGATGCTACGCTGCAGTTATAGTTAATGTTCAGATTACATTTGCTTCTCTGCCCATCAGAGAGGCAACATGCTGCTTGATTGACATCAAGAACAAAACTTATATCTGATCCCTTAATTGCAATTTTAATCTTGAAAATAACGAGGGATAGTTTGGGATGTTACGGAAGATATTCAGACTGTACAAAGACAGTATAAAGACATCATGGCATGTTTATATTCTCATGCAAGAGCTTTGAAAGTGGTTAATGCAAATAACTCATCAGAAATGTTAGTTGTTGATAGATTCTGGGGGAGCAGATAGGACCTAGGTTTGGGTTCCATTCCTTAAAAGGTTCTCAGTAAAATGTGCAAAGTCGCTTTGATGTTTGCTCTTGCCCCCCTCCAGTGCATTATTTCATCTCCAGTCAGCTGTCATGGGAGGCTTTGACAACAGTTTGGGTCCTTAACAGTTCTGGGCAACTTCATTTTTGTGGGTTGAGGACAAGATTCTGTTTCTTCAGCTCTCTTACTTCTTTGTGTTTCCCTTCATGGTGTTTTTCGTGGAGATGCTCAGAATGCCAACCAGTTTTCAAATTTCTGATCTGTTGTCTCAGTTTGCATCACATTAACAATGGTGTTTTGCACCACGCTAACTTCATAAGGAGCCTGTGTTCCAGGCTCCCGGATCCGTTTCTCAGTGGTGGGGGCCGTGCACCTTAACACTGCAGCAGTCCCTTGGAAAGCAGTTACACGTGCCCCTTTGAGAGCCCTTGGATTATTTCCAACAAGGGTATCAGCATGCTCCATTGAACAGGACTGGCTGTGAACTTAAGACTGTGCTGGCCATCATTCCTTTCTCGGAGGTTTTCAGACTCTGCTTTTTCTCCTAGAGTCCATGAGTTGCTTTCTGCTCGCTCATAGACTGCAGAAGAAAGAGGTTGTCTTATGGAAGGAAGAGTCTGGATGTAGGCCTGAACATGCAGGGTTAAAACTTCACCCAAGCTGTCCACCCTATTTTGAAGTCAGAGAAATCCATGAAATTTTCATTATGTTGTACTATATAAACTTAATAAAAAATTGTCAAAGTGACAATGTCTCTCTGCTGAATGGATTTCCTTGCACCATCTGGGTTTTGTTGAGCTTAAGTTGCTTTCATTTGAATTGTGCTGATGATCTTTTTTTTGTTTCATAGCATTGAACAGATGGGTTGATTATTCTTTACAGATATTAATAAAGCAGTGGAAAGAAGAAATATGAATAAGGCTTCATCAAGGTCCAGTCCGACACGAAGGTAAAGTACCTGGAAGCAGTGAGTTATACTAGGAATTCAGGCCTCCGGGGCACGAGCCCAGTGGCCTGTGCTAAATGTCTGTGTCTCTTCCCTACTGCCATCTCCCCAGTCAAACAGTGATGCTCCAGCAGGAAAGTGTCTGCTCCATCTCTGAGAGAGAGCCCTTATGGCTCTGGCACCTTGGGAGGCACGAGGGAAACCTTGTGTCTGCTGCCATTGCTGCAGCCCAGCATTTGGTTTTGCAGCACAGGCTGTAAGAGACTTGGAAGGAAGAATATGCTTGATGTTTGCTCCTGCCTCCAAGAATGAGAGAAGCTGAGACATATCTAGAGAAATGCCAAGGGGCTGAAGTGTTTCCAGTGCAGAGGATCTTGAGATCTTGCCTCTTCTGATGTTGAAAGCTTCCATTACTGCAATGAGACTGGAAAAGAGCACTTGAGCAAAACACAAGACAGAGCAAATGTGTCTTGCACGGTCCTGTCTCCCATGTTGTTGTGTTATCAGAGCCTGGAGCCAGCCCCACAGTGCAGTCACTGATGTACTCTCCAGCTTCTCCTGGCTTCCCACCCCTCTCTGGGCACAGCACAGTCACCTCCTTCTCCTCCACTGTGTGGGCATCCACAGGCAAGGGGAAAAGTTAAGGATTGTCCTGTCACAGGAAGACTACTTCAGTTTCCTTTCCACAGCTAGGAAAAAAATACATTCTTCAGTGGTGTTTGGTGCACTTTATCCACCCTGTGCCTCTGTTGTAAAGCATTCCATGAAAAGGTGTGGTGCAGGTAATTGAGGTCCCACATCTAGTGTGCTTTACTAGCTTGACCTGTTAAATTACCAGAAATGAGGAAAAAGTGCAACTACCAAGACATCTGCACCAAAAAAAAAGCACAGAGAATGAGTAGCAGCAATTCTTGGCACCATCTAGGATTTTTATGCACTGCACTTAACCCTGCACAGGGCCAAATGTGCTTGCAGAGACCAGCAAGTGGGCGTCAGGCCAAGAAGTGCTGGGATACCTGTGGCAGATGCAGCAAGTCTTGGGCCTGGGGCTGTGCTTGGTGCTGGTGGGAGGACCCTGGGAGTATGTGGGCAGCATGCACTGAATGGCACATCTTTGGCCTCAGTGCCACCAGTGCTGCAGCACTGCAGGGGTGATGGGCAGGCATCTGCACCATGAGCATTGGTCCTTTGACTGCGCTGCAGAGGGACAAGCACAGGCACTGATGCCATGGGCATTGCAACCTATGTCATCCTGCATATGTGCAAGAGCAGGTGCCTGTGCCGCAGTCCTAAGGAGCACTAGCCCTGCGTGAGCTGTGGTGCTGTGGGCAGCAGGTTGTGGATTGGACCGCAGCCAAAGGCTTTGGTGCCACTGACAGGCACTGGATTTCAGCTGGCACTGCATACACCGTGGCCATCCCATGTGGTTAGCACCAAGTCCCAAGCAGCACTGTGGGCACAGGTGGTGGGGTCCCAGTCATCAAGTCCTGGGCACAGCTGTGATCTCTGGACCACACTGTGGCCTGAGAGGTGGTGCTGATGCTGCAGGAGCCAGACCATGGTGACTGAGGTGTGGAAGCAGAAAGTGGAAGCTCTGCCTTTGTGCTGCTGTCTCACTTGAGCAGGGCAGCCATGCAGGCACAAGAGCCGAGGCCACGTCTCTACTTCTGTCACAGTTGTGCGTTGTTCATGCTGGATCTATTTGTCTCTGCGGATAATGAATGTGGCCTGTTCTGGTCACCCCCACTCCAGCTAGAATAAATGTCATATGCCAAACAATTCCCCTGCATCTGGTTGTTTTGCTAAATGATCTCACAGCTTTGGAAAGATCTGTTGCTCAATATCAATTAGAGCAAGTCAGAAGTTTCCCCTTAGCTTCTGCCATCATTCATTGTAGGTTTTGGGGGAAGGGGGTTATGATGTGTCTCTCACAGGATGTGGTTTCAATGCAGATCACAAACAAAAAGTGGATTTATATGTCCAAGAGGCTGAAGGAGTTTACACCCTGGCTGTCTACAAATTCAGTATGTCACTTAAAGGAGGAGGCTATGTGTGCTCATGACATCTCTAATTTGTCCCAAAATCTGGTTTGTATCTGAAATGCCAGCACTCTTTATGTGTTCCCATCACAGCTGGGTGTCTGACACCAAAATCCATGTACAGACTCTGCTCTTCCATCGTTCCTGTTGTTCTGCCTGACATCAAACTTGGGCTCATCTGACTCGTTCTCTCCAGGTGATCTCTGTGTGACTGCACTGCAGTCTTAGGTTCTAATGCAGACTTAGGTTCTGCTTATCTTTCATAAACTAGATTAGGCTGTTTGAGGACTGTAAAAGTCATGTCAAGTTTGGGAAATAAAAAGATTCAAAAAGCTGGGTTTTTTTCCTGATGGTTGTCAGTATTTTGGGGAAAAAACTGTATGAACACGTGAAGCTCCGTAGTTTCTCTGCAAGATTTTTTTAATGCTTTGTTTTGACTACACTGAAGTTATGGTCGTCTCTGGAAAACAGAATACAACCTTGATAAAACTTGACTGCCTTGGGAAAAGTTGAAGACTGGAACATTATTCTTCCTTGCCGCTGAAGACTGCAATACAAAGTCTGAATGAGATGGATCATTCAGATCCAACAGAGAAGCCTTTTGTGGCCACTGAAGATGCAGTACTGGTTGGGTTTAGTACCCTCTTAACCAGGGCATTATAAACATAAGGCTGGCTTTCTACAGAAACTATCCCTCAAACCCAAGACAGTGCCATAGCTGTCTTTGCTTTCTGTCAGCAGTACAAACCCAGCCACAGTGTGGAACCTGCAATGTCTTTGCTCACAAGCTGCTCCTTTTTAAATCATAATATTACTTCAGGTGTTCTGCTGTCATTGATGAGTGAATTTAATGGATCCCTTGAACACTCCTGGCTATTGCGTATTTGTGGGCATTAGTCTACGTCACCTTAAACTCTGTCAAAGAATTTGCCAAACATGATTGATAGATCATCTATGGCTGATGCTGGAGGTCAGACCTTAAAACGGTGGCTTCTGAAGTGCCTGTTCACTTCATCCACAGGTGCTCTACACTTAGTGCTCCATTAAGGAGCTTTCTGGGTTTGGCTGTGCTGAATATTAGAATTAAAAACCTTCTCCAGACTGCTTCAAAAATGACTTTTGGTCAATTTTTGTTGTGGGATAGGAGGGAGGATTCAGCTGCTGTGAAAGGTCACTTTGGCACCTCAGGTAAGATCTAGGGGTAACTATACTTGTGTTGGTAGCAGGCTAATGTAATTTCCCTGGTGTTTTCCTCAGAGATCAGTATGCCTACGGGGATGGCCGAGATGCCAGGCGCGACCGCTCCCCTCTTCGGGGGAGCCCACGGAGAGACCCCAGAGATGGCAGGGATGGCAGGAACGGGCGAGATGCTAGAGACACTCGAGACATGCGAGCTAGAGACATGCGTGATGCCAGAGACCACAGGGACCCACGGGATCTGCGAGACCCTCGGGATATCAGGGATCCAAGGGACTTGAGGGACCCACGTGATGTTAGAGATCTTCGTGACCCACGGGAGCCACTGTATGATCGATACAGGGATCCGCGGGATATGAGAAGTGCACGAGATGTGAGGGATCCACGGGATATGAGAGACCCTCGGGACCCTTTGTACAGGTAAACTCTGCGGGATCTTATTTGCCAAAATAATGTTTTTAAGCATTTCTGCTCCAATTGTTTGAGTGATGTCAAGTGTTTAAGGAAATCACCCTTGGCTGGGGACAGTTGGGTCCCACTCTGTGTCTTGTGAGCAGATGGGTACCTCAGAAATTAAACTTGGGGGAGGTCTGGGTATGATGCATTGGCCAAAGTCACTGCTTGAGATGGTGCTGGAGGAAACCCATTGCTGGTTCTGAACGTTGCAGACGAGACGAATCTTACGACCGTTACCTGCGCCTCGAGGACTACTATCGGCGCAAGGACGACTCCTACTATGACCGCTACAAGGAGCCGGAGGGTGAGTACCTGTACCACTTCACAGGGAGGGTGCCACAGTTGTGGCACTCTGAGCAAGTCTGAAGGGTGTCACTCCTTCTGTCCCTGCTCATTTCAGACCGCCTGAAGCGTGAGGAGCGGCGCCGGGAGGAGCTGTACCGTCAGTACTATGAGGAAATCAAGAGACGTTTTGATGCAGAGAGACCCGTGGATTGTTCTGTGATAGTGGTGAATAAACAGACAAAGTAAGAAAACAGTTACAATCAGTTTTATTATTGCTTGTTAGAAGAGAATGGGTTTAATTTAGTTCTGCTTTGAGGCTCTTTGTCTTACAGGTTGCTCTTGAGGAGTGTAGCTTTAGAGTCCACAGAAAGCTACAGCTCCCACTTTTCTTCTGGGAATATATGTTGATGAGATGAGGAAATGTATCTTGTGCTTTGCATGTATTTCCCCCTTGTAATCTATTGCTATACCTTCCCTGATACTTCTACTCTCCATATAAACCTACCATTTCAGCCAGTTCACCTGTGCAAGATGGTTGAAGGGGGGACAGTTTTAGTCACCATTATAGACTTTGCCTCCAAAGACAATAAAATGACCCTCTTTCTTGAGGTGTGGGTGCACACAGCCTGCATTTGTCAGACTTTTTGTGCAATCAGTATTGCAGGTTTGGTTTTAAGTATAGTCGGCTTAAAAAAAAACCTTGGGGATTTAAGCTCAGCCTTGTGAGCTGTGTTTTGTGCTTGGATGGGGAAGTCTGTAGGACTGGGTACACAGGAGCAGTGGATCCAGAGATGCTGAGTTGGCAGTGGGCTAGAGCAGAAAGCAGCTGGTAGAAAAGAGCAGGCCAGTAAGGAATGAGGTGCATGTGAGCAGTTGAGATACTGAACAAAGCAGGAGTAAATGAGTTGTGTAGGTTGGCTCCTCTGCTCTGTACCCCTTGGACCTCTGCTGGCATTAATTTCTTCCCCTAATGAATTCAGTTGAAACACATTTATGTGTAAACAAATTTGTAGTAGTGTAAATCCCTTTACAAACACTCTGTTTCTCAGCTAAGTTAAGGCTTGATTTGTAATTTATTTTGGTTGCATTGAAATGACTGATTCAGATCAGAATAGGGGCTTTTATGTTGCTATAATGGGATTGCTTTAGTACTGTCCTGGTAAACGTCATGAAGCTGGGCAAGTAATCAGAAAAGCAAATCTGAGATGTGGAGAGGGTGCAGTGCCAAGGTTTCTGTTCCTGTATGGGACTGATTTGTTAAACTTCTGGCTTTGCTTTGTGGTAGGGAGTACGCGGAGTCAGTGGGGCGGAAGGTGCGAGACCTGGGCATGGTAGTGGACTTGATCTTCCTCAACACAGAGATGTCACTGACACAAGCCCTGGATGATGTGAGCAGAGGAGGGTCTCCTTTTGCCATTGTCATCACCCAGCAGCATCAAGTTCACCGTTCCTGCACTGTTAACATCATGTTTGGCACCCCACAAGGTACTAAGGTCTCAGTAGGCTGGGAATTGTGTGGTCACTCTGAACCTTTCTTTCAGGCAGAACCACAAAGGTCAAAGTTCATCCTTGCTGTCACATAAGTAGTTATAAATGACTTGACACTGTGTTGTAAATTTGAGTATCATTATTTACAAGCTTCCGTAATACTCTGTTTGTCCTTTGTCAAAAGGAGTGTCTCATCCTTGCCAAGAGGGAATTTCATCTGTGTTCTTGGCTCCTAACACTGCCAGCCGTTGCATCTCAGGGCAAGTCATGGACCCCAGAGCTGCACTGCTGTGGGAGATCCTTGAGTAATGCCAGCCCAACCTCACTCTACCACTTGTTCTCAGAAAGAGCTTCTTGGGAATGTGGCAAATTAAATGACAGATTTTAAAATCAAATGTGATTTAATAAGGATTTGGTAAAGGTAGAGATTTGATACTGGGAAGAGTTATGAAAAGATAGAAGTAGAAAGTGTTATGAAAAGATAGATCTACAAAGTGTTTGGGAATACAGGCTTCACTTTCTTAGCACCTTTACACTTGTCACATCACCTTCCATCTCAGGGTGTGACTTGTTGCATGAGGGTGGGTGTAGATACTGAAAATGCCTTGTCAGAATGTGACTGGGGAAACCAGCTGTTACTCTGATCATAGGCCTGTTCATGTTATCTGTCAAGACAGGTGACTGGTTTGACCACAGCTGAGCTTTCAAAGGTTATTTCTCCCTTATTGTGTTCCCATGTAATTTTCTGTGAGTTCATCTGGGAGAGGAAACCTCTGAGTGCACAGTCAATGCTTGGTGTGTGCTCACAGACTGGAGAAGCCAAATTTCTTTTAACATCAGATGCAGATGTGATAGGAGAGCTCCCTCATTTCCTGCAGACACACAGCTCACACACACTATCACTGGGCTTCCTGCTGCCCTTGGTTTTAATTCTTAACTTCCTTGGTTTTAACACCTGTTAAGCCTTTGGCAGGAAGCCAAAGCTTCTTTTCGTCACTGGATCTGCTGGTGTATCAGACCTGATGGGAACCCCAGTCATTAGCTCATCCACAGCTCATTCCAGAGATTAAATATGCTCACTTCAACCGCTCCTGGCCACCTTTGCATGCATGTTTGTTTCAGGGAACTCTTTCACTACTTGTGCAAAGGCTAATGTTAAAATCAACCCTTAGGAGGAAAAGGCTTGCAGGATTTGATGTTCTGCAGGTGTAAAAAGGACCCTGCCCAGAGCTTTCGGCACTTTTGGGAAGGTAAAGGCTCTCTTGATCTCCCAGTTTAAATCTGTGTTCGGGTGACTGTTCATGTATGTGCTTTGGGAGGTGGAAATAATGACCTCAAACCCACCATTGGAATTGCCCATTACTTATTTTATCACAGAAGAATTTGATTGCTGCACATGCACATGAGATGTTAAGGGACTGGCAGTACAGAAACAAATATACTTCCATGGCTGTCCACCTCTGGGAAGCATACTGCCTTCAGAGGGCAAGCTTTGGATCTGACCAAGGGTTTAGCAGTAAAATGACTGGGATCTCATCTTGGAGAACCGAGGATTTATGTGAGAGGTAGAGGGAGCTGCTTTCCTTTTAACTGGTGAGAGACAAGAAAGACATTTCTGGGCTGATGGTATGTCTGCTTAGAGCTCTCAGCTGTGAAAGGAAAGGCTGGCCTTGCTGGCTGATAGCCGTGGGCCTTCTGTTGGCTTTGGAAATGTAACTGTTCCCATGTGCCTGGGAAGTTCCCAAGTCTGCACTCACACTCCCTGAGCTGTGCCTGCTGCTGACTGGGCTGTGCTGGCAGGCGGGAAGAACAGCACCTCTGTCAGGGTCACTTTGGGTCACTCAGAGCATTTCTTGCTTTGTGCAGAGCACCGCAACATGCCCCAGGCTGATGCCATGGTGCTGGTGGCAAGGAATTACGAGCGCTACAAGACGGAGTCCCGGGAGAAGGAGCGGGAGGAGATCGCCCGGCAGGCTGCCAAGATGGCAGATGAAGCTATTCTGCGGGAGCGGGAGCGCCCACCCCCCATGGAGGAGGGTGTCAGAGGAGGTCACCCTCCTGGGATCCAAACCCTCTTGAACCTGCTGGCAGACAATCGCTATGTGACTGCTGAGGAGATAGATAAAGTCATTAATTACCTGAGAGACCGGAAGGAACGGTTGCTGCGGGGCAGCACTGAATCTCTGCAGGGTAAGTCCCACGGCCCCAGACAGTTTATTGTGTGGTTTGTGGTCCTCAGGGCTGGGACAGGAAAAAATTCCTGGCACTGCAGAGGAGTTTGGGAGCATAATATCCTCATGCAGCACCTCATTTTACTGAGATGGACATGTTGTTGCATGCCGTGAGACGATTCAGAGTTTTCATGTGGAAGACCTTTTATACTGGATTCTTTTAGAGCAACAGCAGGACTGCCATAACTGGTTGGGCTGCTATACTCAGTTCTGTAGGGTGGATTGGGTTCCCAGAGCTGTGCAGCTGTGATCTGAGGGTGGATGTTCACTGATACCATGTCTTTGGTAGCTGTTTCATTAGTTTTCTTCAGATGTCCCTTCAAGGGCATTTGTAGAGTTTTAACCATCTTTCCTTTCTTTCCCAGCACCCATGTCAAGGCAACCTTTGGGGGCACCTTCAGGATCATCACTGGGTAGTCAGTCCAACCTTCCAAGTTCTCAGGCTCATCAGGGTTCACAGCCTCTGGTCTCTACTCCTTCTGTTCCAGTGTCCTCTTCTACTCCTCAGCAGGAGCTTCAAGCAAAAATCCTCAGTCTCTTCAACAGTGGGGCAGCAGCGGCGGCAGCAGCTGCTGTGGCAAACAGTGGTCCTGCGGCCTCCACGGGCTCTTCAGGCAGCACTCCCAACCAGAACTTTGCTAACTTGGCTGGTGGGCAGCCCCGGCCAGCACAGATGAATGCTGGAAATTTAAACCAGCCTCAGCAGAGATTGCAGACTCCAAACACGCAGATTCCTGCTCTCCCGGGCCCTTCGAGAAACGCAGGTCCGAGACCTGGAGCTCCTCCACAACCTCAGCCGCTCTATGGTCAGCACCAAACCCGCCTCCCTGCACCTGGCAATGTGCCCGCCCAAAGGCCGGTGTCTTCTGGTATCAACTTTGACAACCCCAGTGTACAGAAAGCCTTGGACACCCTTATCCAGAGTGGTCCTGCACTCTCCCATCTTGTGAGCCAAACCGTGGCCCAGGGGCGAGGGGGGTCCTCAGCCCAGCAACCAATGGGTGCCTACCAGCGACACTATTAGAGCTGAGCTGTTGGGCCCATTCCCCTTCCCTTTGCCATTCCATACTTATAGCTGTTTAAGGAGTCTCCCATCCTTGACCCGGGACAGATGCCCTGGACATGCATGTCCTCTCCAGTCTGGCGAGAGCATACCCCCTGCAGCATTGCTGCCAACGGTTGCTGGCGCTGCCCTCCCTCTCCTTGGTCTGGTTAGCAATGTTTGGAGCAGAATGCTCAGTTTTCTCCACAGCACAATGTGCTGTGAACTGTGTTGGATCATTGGTTGTCTTGTCCCATCCCAGAAGCTGCTGCAGTATCAGTCCTGCTGCATTTTCCTTACTCCCAGCACCTGGTGCACCTTCCCATTGAGGTGCAGTCTGGGCTCACTGATTGATCTTGGTGTAGTTTTGGATCGTCGGTTTTGGTGAATTAGGGGACTGAACAGAGCAGCAAATTGATGGGCCTTGGACACCCACCACTGTGGAATGGGCACTACCCTTCTTTGGATTTCTTTTTTTTTTTTTTTTCTTGTAATAGCATATAAGCCATTTGGAAAGTCCAGTGATAGTGCTGGCAGCCAAAATCATGAAGCACATGCCTGACCACTGCTCAGTAACCAGGACTGTGCAGTCCATCTGCACATCCATGTCCAGGCAGAGAGGCCAGTGTTCCTCACCTCAACCCACTCACAGAGACTGGCAGCTGTGGGCTGAGCACACATCTGCAACGCAAGAACTTCCAGCCAAGGCTGAGATTTCAAATAATCTGTCAATTTTCCTGCCTTGAGTAATCAGTGTTAAGACCAACCTGGTAAATTTGGTGTATAAATTTTCTTTTCTTACAGTCTTTGGCACGGTTACTAGTGCACCTTAGCTGCAGCCACACTGATGTGCTGCTGGCTCTCCCTGGGAATACCTCTCACCAGGTATTGGGGGGCAGTGCTGCTCTATCTGACCTCTTCTTGCTGTTGATGGAAGTTCAGTCCATCTGAGGTGGAGAGACAGTGCCAAGTTTTAATACCATAATTTTAAACCTTTTTTCAACACTTCGGTAGCTGCAGCGGACAGTGGAGTGGTAAATCAGGCAGTGATTCCTCACTGTATTTTTACTGGGAGCATACTTTGATACCAGAACACAAAACATCACTTAACTGTGTGGTCCTCCCCGTCATGGCCTTCTTGGAGTCTGTGGGCTTCCTGCAGGGAACTGGGAGATACTAAGAAAGCAGTGGATTGAAGCAGAGGATTTTCTTTGTCCCAGGTGGTTTGTGTTGTAGCATTTCTTTTATCTCTGTGCTGTTAACAAGAGGACATTACTTTCTAATAAAAGGCCAGAAAAATTACTTGTTGCATTTTTTGACACTTGAATACTCTCAGAATACGTCATTCCACTCACTGTGTTTGCTGTTACTCTCCTCTCCTGGATAAGCTGTGCTGGAAGCTCCACACTGGATGCTGAGAGGAATGTGTATGGACCTCACAGCTCCTGACTCTTGCACAGCACTGGGGTGGCCTCAGGTCAGGAGATGTGGTGTGGCACGGCCGATGTGAGGGGTCCAAAACCTCTGTGGTGACAGGCGGTGGGAGGGACAGGTCCAGCTCAGAGCCAAAAGCCAGCATGAGGTCAAGGCTGCAAGTCCCTGTGCTTTCAGCGCTGCTGTCCCACAGCTTCGTGCCATGAGACTGGACAGCAGTGTGTCTGCTGTCTCTCCTCCTGTTGGATCCCTTTCTCCACCTCTACAATCCTGCAGCCAGGTAGAGTGCTTTCGGTGGGGTGACCAGAAATCTTTGTGAGGTGAAATGTGGGAACTGCATCTCTTTGGAGAGGAGATCCTCCCCTTGTGCTTTGCTTCCTCTGCAATCTGCACTTTGTCAGGGCTTGCTCCATGTTGTGGAAATGGTGCAGAATAGCTGTGGAGACCTGGAAGCAAGTGAAAAGTCCCCGTGCAAGAAGTGAAGGGTGTAATAAAATCATTTATTGCATTTTGTGCAGACAGGAGTCTAGAAAAATGAATACAGGTAAAGCAGTAAAGCAATAACAGGGAGCATTCAACAGCTGAGGAGCCACTCCTCCATGAACACCTGCACAGAGAACACGGGGTCTGCACCGAGGCGGCCTAATGCACAACACTGAAACACACAGAAATTAAATGCAAGCCTAATAGGGGTTGTTTTTTTTTTTTGGTTTGCAACCTGTTTTATTTACAAGGTTTTAAACTTAATTGCATTGCTCTGCACACAGATTCTCTAAAACACAAAGCATTCTAGGTCACTACATGTCTATTGAAATATTGCACTCGAATAAAAGTCACTTGAATGGACAGAGAACATCTAGCTACAGTGATTTTTAAAAGAGTATTGAATGAACCGACTTTGTGATAACATTCATAACAAATATATTGCACATGTAGCACAGAAAGTGTTGTAACCAGCAGATCTCAGACCTTTCGGTCTTTCTGCTAGTTTTTAATCCTGCTACACAGAGGAGGGTCTTGACTCTTCTAGTGCAACTCTTGCCCTTGTGCAGTCTCTTGTCCTTCCTCTTGTCCAGCCACAGACCAGCACCTGCCCAGGCTGGATGTTGCCTGTGTGTCCTGTCCCTGCTGCCCTGTGGCTTGCTGCCTGTGTTGCGTGGTGGCCACAGTGACCTGAGCTGCCCTCCACAGTAACCTGAGCTGCCCACTGCCACACTCCCAGGGGCTGGGGCTGCTTGGCCCTCTTGCAGCAGGGACTGGAGCACTTGCCACCAGTGCTGTGTGCTGGCCCAACACTCCCTGCTGGCTGTGGCCACACTCCAGCCCATCCTCCTGTGGGTTGTGCTGCTCTAGCAGCAGCCTGCCTGTAAAACAAACTGGGGGGTCAAGACCTTCCTGTCTGGAACAAAAACCGGACCGTGTCTGCGCATGTGCCAAGGAGGAACTTGCATGTCTACCGGAGGAGGACACTGTCTTCACCACGGTGGAGCGGCAGAAGGGTGCTCCATGGGGAAACTGAACACTCACAGAGGCCAAACGTGCAGGGCTGGGTTTGTAAACTAACATGCAGTGCTGTCTGCTAAAACTGGCCCTCTCCAGCCGACGGCGAGGGGATATGCTGTGGAAACCAGCTCCTGTCTTGCCACAGCCAAACTGCCTGGCAGGGGTGTGGGAGCAGCCCTGACTCTGTCCAGAGCTGTGCCCCTGCTCTTGCTGAAGGATGGGGAAGGGGAATGCCTTTTTTCAGCAGTAGTGATGAAAAGGAATAGCCTTCCTAGTCCCTGGCAGAGCCAAGACCATGGCTTTGCCATCAGGGTGGAAGTGATGCTGAGGGGAACAGGATCCACTGGTGGTGCTGGGGGATGAAGCAAACCCGTCAGAAATGTGCCCTGGCTGCTCTCACCACTGCTCTGCAAATGTCATTCCTGGCTGTCCTGTACCTGCAGCCAACAGAAGAGCCTGTCATCTGATGCTGTGAGGGTGGGTGCTGTCTGCAGGCTCAGCAGAGGCTGTGCATAACCTGCCTCTCCCTTCTGCCCTGCGCCATGTGCCAGGGCAGGAGGGGACCGTGCTCGCTGCCTCAGGCCCAGCAGCACAGGGGGCACCAGCCAAGCTGCAATTAGAGGGCAACTGCAAGGAGCGAGTGGCATCTTGTGAAGAGGCAGAGCAGCTGGCAAGTGCTTGAGCCCCAACAACATGGTGCTAACACATGAGCTGTGTGGGCAGGATGCTGTGCCTCCCCCGCTGCTGCTGAAGTGCCTCAGATAATTTTGGGAGGCTAGAAACAGCCCATGAGCTTGTGTGTGGTGGTACAGGGCCAGCTCCAAGGGGCAGAGCAGCTAGACACTGGCAAATGCTGGTTCCCATGGGCTGCCCTTCCGAAAACTAAAGGAACTTTTCACTTGCAGACCCCTACCTGCTCTTCTCACAGCTCCCAGGCCGCTGAGGCAGCAGCAAGACCGGAAAGTGCTACCCTGTGCATCTGCACCACTCGTCAGCCCCGAGCTCCTGTGCCGAAGCCAGCGCTCAACTCGGCCTGACATTCCCCCCTAAATGCTGAGCTCCTCATGCCTGTGGGAGCGGCTTCCACAGCAGCGTCTGGGACACAGACCTGCAGCCACACAGGCAGCCGAGCTACCCTGGCAGAAAGTCTGGCTGTGACTGGGACTACTCCTGGAGAGAAGGGAGGCACTTCGGGAGTGATGGAAATGTAGGAGCAAGGTATGAGCAGGCACAAATGTGCAGCTGGGGCTTGGTTTTGGTCTAGGAGTGTGTCCAAGTAGTATCTTATAGCAAAAAAAAAAGCCAACATCAAAAAACCCACTGCTTTTTATCCAAGCATCCCCAAATAGCTTTGGCCTGGACCTGGAGTAGAGGAGCTCTGAAAGGGAGCAGGGGCTGGAGTGGCTGGTGCAGGGGGGAGTTTCCTGTTCTCAGGGAGGCAGGAGCCAAGGTTAGCAGGGGGTCGGGTGGGCAGGGAGCTGGGACCCATCAGGGCTGCCTGTGCCAGGCAGGAGGCAGCTGATGCCTGGATGGACACCTGCGGGGATGCTGTAGCAGCACCCGCTCCCCCTGCTGCAGTGCAGAGCAGCACTGGGGAGCATCTGGAGGGGCTGAGGGGGCGAGTGCTTCAGCACAGGGGCTCAGCTCTGACCAGGGACAAAGTGCTGCCCCAGGGCCCAGGCTGGCACAAAGCCACCAGCACTGCCGGGAGAGGGCAACTCTTAGCAGGCTGCACTTTGAGTGGAAGCTCAAATCTGCTGTGAAACAAGTTCAGAAAAGTCTGTGACTTCTTTTCCCTGAAAACTCTTAAGAAGCTAAATTGAGAAGAGAATAAACCTGCGACCTGGCCCTTTCCCAGGGGCTGCTGGTGGCCGGGGAAGGCTGCAGCCTCCACCACCACTCCGGAGCGCTCGGTGCGACGGATGGGCTCCTGGTTTGTGCAGGAGCAGCCCGGCTCAGCTCCCTGTCCCTGCGGCCTGGTGCTAGCAGAGCCCTGCATCTCTCAGAATAGATATAGATCTCTATATATAGACTTCATCTGGTTCTATTAACATAAATATGATCACTTTAAAAATACACGTACTGTATTATGTACACTATGTACATGGGGCTGGGGCGGGCGCCAGCGGCACCCTGCTGCCCTCGCACCGCTTCCTGCGTGGTTCCTGGAACCGTTCACATTTGTTAAAAGCGCCTCAGTTTCTCTTCTGTGAGAGATGCTGGGGGGGTGGGGGGGGTGGGGTGGGGGAGGACGGCGGCGGGGGCGACCCTGCAGCTGCTGCCAAAGACAAGAGGTGTTTGATCTGCCCCGGGGGGCTCTGCTGTGGCGGGGCTGCCCTGGCCAGCCGGGTGAGGGAGTGTCGCGCTGCCGGGGGGCGGTGGGACCCCTACAGCCCCCACCTCACTGTGCCGTCTTGCTGGTCAGATCAGCAAACAGCCTTTGCATATGTTAAAAATACACACAGATCCAGACTGTCCTACAGCCCCCGGCAGCATCTGCGACTGCCTGGGGCCGCGGCCAGGGCTGGGTTAGCAGCGGAGCCCTGTGGAGCAGCAGGGAGTGCGGCGGGGTACAGGGTGAGCCCGGACACATGTGCGGGTGCTGGGCCCTGAGAGCCCCCAGTTTAGTGCGGCGGGGGAGCAGGGTGGGGGTCCGGGACACCCCTGTGCCGGCCCGGAGCAGGCACTGGTGCCTCGGGGGTCCCCAGCACCCATTCGGCTCCAGCCGCCGGACAGAGGCCCCGGCCTCGGCGCGGCTCCAGACACCGCAAGCACCCGGGGAGCGGCAGGGGAGAGAGAGCCCGGAGTTCAGGCAGGGGGGACAGGGAACACCCCCAAACACCTAGGGCAGGGCTCCTGCTCTCACGGCCTCGCTGTGCTCTAGTACCTTGACCCCACGCAGCCGCCCCCCACCCTCTGCCTCCTCCAAACCATCGTGCTGCATCTCCACAAGCTCAGCCCGCGGTCTCCAGAGACGACGGTGCCGAGGCGGCGGCGAGCTGGGGCTGTCCGGGCCCGTGGCGGTGAGGGGCAGCGGGGGTGCAGCGCCGTGGGGAGCGGCCCCGGGCGCTGCCGGAGGCGGGGAGAGGAGCGAGGGGAGCGCGGTGTGGGGGCCTCTCTCTCGCAGGGAGGCACAGGGCACGGGCGCGTCCAGCCGAGTCTGTGCAGGAGTAGCAGCACGGTGGGGCCAAGGTCCGTCTCGGCACAGCCGCCCTCCTGCCCGGCCAGGGGCTGCAGCGGCAGTGCTGGGGCTGGCGGTGGCGGCAGCGCCGAGCTCTGATGCTCAGTCCGCGGTTCACTGTATATATTTATATATAAACAAGGACAGCAGTGCTGTGGTGTTGCAATGAGAAACAGCTGCTCTGGTGCTGGATGCTCCCGGAAGATCTGGTGCTGCAGTTCGAATGGAGAGATCAGGGGCACGGCCAAAGCCAGGAGAAGGTTCTGCGCACCGGCTGCCATCCGGCCTTCCCTCCTCCCCTCCGGGAGCGCGGTGCAAAGGGGTGGCGGGGCTCTCAGTGTGCAGACAAACCTCTCTCTCGCCGTCTTTCAGGAGTAGATGGTGATGACCTCCCGGCCTCCACCACGCACCAGGAGCACTCTGTCCAGATGCTCCGTCAGCACCTCCAGGAACTCCATGTCTGCACAGCTGTCAAGGAGGACAAACTTCACACTGGACAGCCCTGTGCCATCCCTGCCCAGCCCCAGCTGAGCCCGCAGTACTGACACCTCCACACCAAAGCCAGGAGCTGGCGGGGTCAGTCCCAAGCTAAGGGGCCAGGGAAGCCCAGCCGTGCTGGTGCTGTGCAGTGGGCATGGTGACTGAGCCAGCAGAGGGCTGAGCCCCACAGACCTCTGCCCGGGCCCCTGTCATGTGCCATTGCACCCATGGGTTGCAGATGCAATGTCATGTGGTCCCACCACCCATCATGTGCAGGAAGGGCAGGCTGGTGCCAATGATAGCTGCTGGACCCAGTCAGGAGCAAGAGGTGTGGGGGTGGTCCAAGCTCAGGAACTAGACCTGTACCTCCTGACACTCCCCGAAAAGACCCACCAGTTTTGGGGAAGACATGGACCCTGGTGCCCCTGGCATAGATGGGTTTTGACTACTGGCCCCACAGGAAGGATACAGTTCTCATCCCCTTTCCGGTTACGGGGAGGCCCTGGCATGTTCAGCAGGACCAGCTTGGCATCCTGGGACTTCTTCACGATCACCTCATTGAGCTTCACAGCCGTGTGCATCCTCCGCACGTTGGACTGGTTCCTGTGGGTGACAGCACGTGTGGGCACGGGACAGGTACAGTCAGCCTCCAGCCCCATACCAGGCCCAAGGGGCCACAGGGCACAGTGGCCTCCTGCCCTAGAGCAGTCCAGGCTGCACTGCAGCACAAACTCGGCCTGCAGCAAGCTTTGCCAGGCACTGCACTGGTGACTGAGCCTGCACTAGTGGCCATGTTCCACAGGGCCATGCATGGTGCCCATGGACAGTGGCAATCAAAGCTGCCTGGGGCCAGGCTGAGTGGGAGTGAGCAGGAGCAGACGGTGTGAGTGACACCATGGGTGCCTGAGCCCAGGCTCGCAGGGAGCTGCTGGCAGCACAACGGGGCAGTCAATGAGCGTGTGGTGCGGGCAGTGCGCGGAGCACGGGGCTGGCAGCCAGAGCCGCCGCACGCTGCCCGAGTGAACTGTCTGGCACTGCAGCTGTCACAGCTCACTGAGCCGCCCTCCTGCACAGGGGCAGCCCTGATGGCTCCCATCATGCTGCCCCATGAGCACAACCCAGCTCCCCCCACCCTCCCCGGCACCCAGCCAAACCCAGACTTACAGGTTCTCCCACTCCCTGCCAGAAGCATGATGAGGTCGGAGAGAGATAGGAAGAGAGAGAGAGAGAGAGAGAGAGAGAGAGAGAGATGAACACCAGGTGTGCACCCCCACTCTCTGCAGCACACCCATCCCTTGCCAGCACAGTTCTACACAGGGACCCCTCCCCACTTGCCCCCAGCCCCTCTGCGAGGGTGCACTCAGGGCACCCAGGCTGCCTGACCACTCCTCAGGGCAAGGATTGAGCTGGTGCTGCTGAGGCCCTGCCTGCACCCGCCTGGCTGGGGCAGGCAGGGACAGCCAGGGTCACGGGGCATGGGTGGGACAAGGTAGCAGCATGGGGGGCCATACGGCTTCATGCTGAAGAAGTCCTTGATGCCCTCGGGGCTGACAGGGCTCTTGCTCTTGTTCTTCTCAGCAACAGACTTCTCCTTGGTCCAGGTAAGATGCACCTTCTCAGGGGCTGCCTCTACCTCATCACCAGGGGACTGAGAGCTGCTGGAGAAGGTGGTGGCATTCTTGTCGTGGATTAGTTGGACCTGCAGAGGGAAGAGGGGAATGGTGGGAAGGGCCTGGGGCCAGCTACCTGCCTGGCTATGTCTTGGTACCACCTCTCACCTCCTCCTCTGGCTTCTCCTCGCCGTCGGCAGCCTGCTCCTCGGGGACGTTCAGGCGCAGGCGTGTGTTCGCCGGGTTTTTGCGCCGGATGGAGCCACGGGACTCATCCGTGATGCTCTGAATCTGTGCGGGAGGGGTCAGCCAAGGGACTGGGGCACAAGAGGGCTTGGCTGGGCGGAGCCTAGCCTGAAGCCCAGTTCTTCATCAGGATGAGCATGTAGAGCTGCAGGGCAGCTCGGTTCACATTAGAACCACCACAGGGGTCAGAGCCCACCCAGCCTGTCCTGCAGCCTCACCTCCCGCTCCCGCTCATTCTTGGTAAGGTGCATTTGTTTGAGGATCTGGGAACGCTGCTCCATCACCAGCGTCTTCTCATAGGTGTAGGCAGAGATGTCACTCTCATGCTGTGGGGAGAACAGGAGAAATTTGGGGCATGTCCCCCCATGGTGCTGTGGGCTCCATGTCAGGCTCTGTCTGGCCCTCCCATGCACAGCATCCCTGCCTGCAGCACGTCCCGTCCCAGTACTCACCATCTCCACCACCTCCACCTCTGCGGTGATGCGCAGGTGGTACAGGAATGTGGTCAGGTCCTTCTTCATCTGGATGCTGTTGTCATCCATCTGTGCCACCGTGAAGATGCGCATCTTGCACTTACGCCACACCTGCAAGGGATGGGGGAGGCTTGGGCACGGCTCGACAGGGACGGCCACAGCCCAAGTCCCAGCCCCGCACTGCAGGGCCCAGCCTACCTTGTGCTGCCGCAGGAGGAAGGGCAGCAGCATCAGCATCCCCCCATCATGGACAATCCACCAGACATCAATGTGGCCCTCTGAGAACCGCTCCTGGTTGCCCGGAAACATGGCAACATTCTTGGCCACCAGCAAGGCCAGGTGCCCAGCTGTGGTCTCTCGCACCAACTCTGGGAGGGGAAGGGCCACGTCAGCCAGGGCAGCTTGCAGCCCCCCAAGTCCAGCAGTGCCCACCCTCCACGATGCCTACCAATGAAGTTCCTCCAGGTCTGGTGGTCCTCCTTCTGGCGCCAGCTGCGGGGCCAGCCCACCAGCACTGTGTTGTGCTGCAGCCCCCCCAGCCCACTGGACTGGATGAGGTGGGACATGCCGTCCCGCAGGTTAGAGGAGATCACCACCTGACAAAAGCCCTTCACCTTCTCCGCTTCCATCAGGCGCCGGATGGACTGAAAGGGAGAAGGAAGTCAGAGATTCCAGGGCCTTGGGGACAGATGTGGATCACAGGCACAGCAGCTGCCAGGCCCAGCAGTGGCCCAACCCAGGCCAGATGAGGTACAGGGTGTAGGGCGTGGGATACAGGGTACAGATTGGGGGGTGCAGCATATGAGGTACAGGGCTGTGAGGTGTGGGGTGCAGGTCCTCACAGGGTGCCTGGGTCTCTGTGCCCCATGGCAGGCTGGTGGCTCCAGGCCAGGGGGCTGATACCAAACGGTGCACAGAGCTGGCACACAGCTCTGAACCGTGCAGAGCAGAGGGTGTCCTTGTGCCAGGGCTCTGACAGGCAGCAGAGCAGCAATTAGAGTTATTTACTCAGAGAAATTATAACATGTCTGCATGGGAGAGAAACTGTTTGCTTCCGAGGGCTTAATCTCATTAATGTGCCGCCCCGCGGGTGCAGGGGGTGGGGAGTGCTCTCACTCTGGCGGGGAAAGGCTCGACTCCCACCTTGCCTGTCACCGGGGCCACAGAGGCTGTGGTGAGTGCTGAGGCTGTGGAGTCCGCTCAGCCCAGCAGCCCCTGGCTGGGCACTGCTGTGCTGTGATGTGCCATGCTGTGCCAAGTCCTGCAGCAGCTGGCCAAGACTGGGACCAGTGCTTGCCTGGTGCCAGCATCTCTGGTGTCTTGGAGGGGAAGAGGGGTCCAGAGCTCCCTGCTGTGAGCACCAGTGAAGCATGGATCCTCAGGCTCTGCCTGATGCCACTCCAAAGTTCTCTGGACTATCCCAGGGCCACCAGCCTTGGCCAGGGGGCAGAAACAAGCCTGGGCACCTGGAGACCAGGAGCACCTACTGCTGGCACAGCCTGTCCCAATGCAGGCAGCTCTCACCTCCTCTGCCCTCTGCGCCTGAGGATGGTTGTCCAGGAAGGTCCCTTCTAACACAGAGGCCACGATAGTGAGGCCCTTCCCAGCCTTGAGCTGTGACGTGAAGGACAGGAGCTGCGGGTGCACCACATTCTGCTCCTGGTCCCCGCGGACCAGGACCAGCAGCTGCGGCCTGGAAGGAGGGTCCTGCAGTCAGTGCCCACAGCCAGCTTGTCCCTTCCCCAGAACCCTCACATCCCCACCTCCCTGCCCAGCCTTACCTCCAGTTTTTGGTGTGTGGGGGCCCTTCCTCCAACCGCAGCAGGGCATAGCGGGCTGCACTCAGGGACAAGCCCCGGATCCCATCACCCCACTCCTTCTCCGCCCTGCAGGAACCAGCAAACCCATAAGGGATGCCCTTGGCTCTGGCCACAGAGCACCACGCTGGCACCCTGGAGCATCCTGGGACAAGGAGCCTGGGGAGCTGAGCAGCCACGCTGAGAGGCCATGTGGCCACGGGGAGCTGGCCAGGACCTGTGGCGCCATGGCCTCCCTTACCCGCGGTACTCGATGTATTTGTAGATGAGGCCAGCGATCAGCATGGCCACCAGTGCATAGTACCAGGAGCAGATGAACATCAGTGCCAGGCAGAGGCTCATGCCCAGGAAGGACAGGGTCCTGCAGAGAGCACAGAGCTGTCAGCATGCCCTGGGTTCCCCACACCGGGGTGTCCTGGGGTGTCCTGCCCCATCCTGCCTGGCTCACCAGTGGTAGTAGCGGAAGCGGGGCCGCCAGTTGGGCGTCCTCAGCAGCGTTTGCACCGCGCATGCCAGGTTGACAAACATGTAGCACATGAGGAAGAACCTGCAGGAGAGAGTAGGGGGCTGAGTGGGTGTACTGTGTAGGACTGAAGTTTCCACACCGCCTGGCCCCGGGGTGGCCAATGCCAGAGCAGGCCCCACTGATGGACAGAGAAGCAGTGCCATGGAGAAACTAATCCTCAATGCTGACCAAGATGGGACCCCGGAGTCCCTGCAGGGCCCCTTCTTCCCAGGCAGGGGCCAGGGCAGCAGGTGCATTCCCCCCCGCAAGGAGCAGAGACCCGCACACGCCACCCGCTGCTTGTGAAGGTGCGGGTCGACAGCACGCTGCCTACATGGAGAGGATGGGAGCCACCTCGTCCAGGGAGGCGATCAGGATCCCGATCTCGCAGATGCAGGCTGTGAGCAGCAGGGCCCATGTCGGCTCCCCATTGGCTTTGCCGTGGCCGAAGACCTGGAAGCGGGGGGAGAGGGGCGCGTCAGGCTCTGCGGGGCCCTGTAGCCCTGGGCAAGGGTACTCAGTGCAGCCTGATGAGACTGGACCCTCCCGTATACCCAGCCCTGGCAGGAGCGCTGTGTGCTGTGAGCTGGCACATGTCCCATGCTGGAACCTCCCAGGGCTGGTTCCTACTGACAGTACAGTCCCATTCCCGGCAGATCCCGCGGCTCTCTCCACACCCAGCCCCTGCACCCCCACCAGGGACGAGCCCCAGCTCACAGCCTGGCCACAGCCAGCAGAGAGTCGGGCACCTTGCGCTTGGGACGGACACGCAGCCGGGGGAGAGTGGCCCCTCCTGCGGCTGTGGGGACCGGGGGGGCCGGGGAGGGGGCCGGGGGCGCGTGTCCGGACGCATTAGAGGGTGCGGGCGGCGCGAACGAGAGCTCGGGCTGGGGCTGGCAAGGAGAAGGAGGGAGGATAAAATTAGCCTGCTCTTCCCTGGGGGGAGCTGTCGGGTTGGATTTGGAGAGATGAGGTTGTGGGAACGCGTCTTCAGAGAGCAGATAAAATACGAAGCGGCACGGCAGCGGGGGGGAGGGAATTCTGACCTTTCCCGACACTCTCCTCCCACCGATACCGCAGCCAGAGCCACCACGGCCGCCCACCGCCGTGCCGGTGCCGGCGGGATGAGGGCAGGGACGTGGGGCTGCTCCCGGCAGGAGGCAGGGTGGGTTCCCACCGGTCTCTCGTGCTGGTGGGATCTGCAGCCACTGTGGGCGCTCAGGGTAGGGCAGCACCGGACTCGGAGGCAACCTACCCTGAGGAAGGGTACGATCCCATCCCTGGAGATGGCTTGCAGAAGGCGGGGGGCTCCAGTGAGACTCTGCAATCCAGCCCCACAGGTGGAGAAGAACGAGCCAATGACAATGACCCACGGGGACGGCCACGCCAGGGTGCCAACCACCAGGTTCCCGTTGACAGCCTCGCCAAACCTGCGGGGCATCAGCATCACCTGCGGTTCCGTCCCGTGACCGAGCCCCGAAAGCACCAGCACCGCAGTGGCACAACCCAGCCCCCCACAACGACACCACTTTGGGGGGATGCGACACAACTGGGCAAGGGCCCACCCCCTCAAGGGGTGAGCAATGGAGCAGAGGTTGCCAGAGGTCCGTCCTCATCCCTGTACCCGTTAGCGTGGCCAAGGACAAGGGCAGGTGTGGGACAGGACTCCTCGTCCCTGTGCCGGGGATGATGCGTGCAGTTGGATCCTGTTTGTGTTGGTGCTGGCGACCCAGAAGTGTCACCTGCCACGTGCGGTGAGCAGGGCTGCCCCAGATAGGCAGGAGCACAGGCAGCTCTGCCTGTTGACAAACAAGTGTCTGCCTGCAGCCGAGGAGCGGGAGGAATGCAGCAAAACATGGATGGCTGGGGTGCAGGCAGGATCTCAGTGCCTGTTACAAGTTCCAGCCCCCCTGCCCGGTGACACCCACAAACCCCCCAGTGCCCCTGTCTGTCCAGTGTGTCCTGGCTGCAGCCTTCCCCACACCTCTGCCTGCCCCTGGGGCTGCCCCTGCCCCATCCTGTTCTGGGAGGCTGCCAGACTCTCCCCATGCCCCCATGGCCTTGGGACACTCACTTGTCACGCAGGACGACCCCCTCGATGCATGCTCCAAAGAGAACAACAGAGCTGATATCTGCCAGGTGGTCAAGGAGAGCCAGGAGGATGCAGAGTCCTGCCTGCCCAGCCAGTGGGGTGCTGGGACCCTGTTCCCAGCCCACTGAAGCACTCAAGATCAACCTGCCCTGCAGAGCCCACCCACCCTCAGCCCCACAGCCCAGGCTCAGGCAAGCTCTGAAGGATACAGACCGCAGAGGTGGTGGCAATGGCCAGGATGGTGCCCGTGGGGATGGACTTCTGGGCATCCCGCAGGTCTCCAGAGCGGTTGGAGCCAGCCATGATGCCTGGGAAAAGAGGGGATGGTGTCAGGAGGAGTAGAGCTACAGCCCATGCCCATCCCAGACGCCCTCATGCCAGGCAACGTGTGAGCCCTGGGCACAGCGGGGCACTGCTCGGTGTGTATCGCGATGGGAAGCAGACAGGATGGGCAGTGGAGAAGGCATTGCTGCAGCTTGGGGTACCCAGCCTGCTCTTCTCATCCCCCCCAGCGCTTCCCCCCCTACCCCAAACCGCAGTCTGAGGCCACTCAAGGATTAGGCTCAAAAGCTCTCAAGTGCCTTGTCTCATTAGCCCTTAATTAGCTCAGGCAGGGACGGTGACTGCCGCAGGGGCAGGGACAGGGTCCAGCCCCGACGCTGCTCTGGGAGGGCAGGAGGTCAGGCAGGGACACGACTGCACAGGCGGGTTCAACGCAGCCCGAGGGATGACCCGCGCTCCGGCCGCAGCAGCAGCCGGGGCAGGATCCCGCGGTACCGGGGGACAGGCGGCCTGCAGAACCCGGCACCTGCTGGTGAACGGGCAGCGGGAGGGAGGGCAGCGGATGCTGAGCGGCTGCCGGGGACCCCACAGCGCCGGACCCTCCAGCGCTCGCCGTGCCCGGGCCAACCCGGGGGCTCCCGCCGCCTTTGGCCCCGGCGGAGCTGCAGGGGAGCCCCGGAGGCTTCGCCCCGCTCGGCTCGGCAGCGGGACTGGGGCGGGGTGGAGGGGCTCCTCTGCCCCCGGAGAGATAAAAATACCCAAGCGGCGGGACGTCAGCGCGCACCGGGCGGCACCGTCAGATCTGGAGCGCGGGCGGCTGCGTGGGAGGCGATGGCGACCGGCCGCCCCCGCGCCGCCGCTGTCACCGCCGCTGTCACCGCCGCAGCCGCGCGGGGGTGGCACACGTGGGGCTCCGCGGAGCACGCCCGGCCGCACGTGCCCGCTGTGCCCGGAGCGGGACCGAGGAGACTCCCACCTGTGACTGAGGGGAAGTAGATGCCGACGAGCAGGGTGAAGTAGGACGTCATGTCGCTGAAGACGTAGGGCTGGTCCATGTCCACTGGGGTGTCGGGAGAGCTCACTGAGGGAAGCCCCCGCTTCTCCACGATCACGCCCTTGGTCAGGTATGAGCTCCAGAGGTTCTCTGTGAGGAGGGAGGAAGCCGGGCAGTGCCGCCGGTATGAGATGGCCACAAGCCCCATACCCAGCACAGCATCCCCACCCCACAGGGATGGAGCCGGGGGGAGGGTCTGGTTCTCCCTCCCCTTCCCCGGCCTCACTGAGCAGCCGGCTCAGCCAGCAGACGGGGCTACGGGACCAGAGGCTGAGGATGGCGGCATAGGTGGGCAACCAGAGCAGGTTCATACTGCTGCTGGCAGCGCCCCCGCAAGATGCCGGAGCAGCTGACCTGAGATTGCAGTAGCAAATAATTAAGAGGGTAATATAATTAATGCTGATCAACACAGGTTTAAGGGAAGTGGATCGTGTCAAAGTAACTTGATAATGTTTTTGATGGGATTATGAGTGCGGGGCTGATGTAACAGGCTTAGTGTCCCTCTGCGTGCTGTTTTGGCCGCAGATTGCGGGGAGAAACTGGAGCAGTGGAGAGCAGCCAGCACAGGGCAGGGTGGGCTGAGGCAACTGCCCTTGGCATGTCACTGCCAGGGGGCTGCAGCAAAAGGCAAAGGGGACCAGCCCTCAGCCCCAGGCACTGAGTGCCCTTCATGGCTGCGCACAGGTGACAGATGGGGCTGGCAACCCCTATTGGCCTCGCCTGTCTCATCGTCCCAGAAATGTGTGTTTCTCCCTACAGGGAGACCCCTCATGTACGGCACAGCAAGCTCCAGTCATCTCTGCCAGGGTCAAACTGTGCCACCTGTCTCAAGATGCTGCTGGGCTGGTCACCCATGTCACCAGCCACCCCAGAGTGGGGTCCTGGCTCTATCCTGATGTCCCCAGTGCAGGAGTGTTTGCTGCCTATTGCCCTGAGAGAGACCAGCTGGGTGGATGAGGGTCTGCACCCCCTCCCCAGCAGCACCATTGCCAATAGGAGCAGGTTCCACCCAATACCTTAAAAAAGCCAGGAATCCCTTATCTGACCCAAAAGACCTCAGAGTGGGACACCATCATGAGGCTCCCAAACATCCTGTGACTGCATTCTGCTAATCACAGCTGCAGCCCTGAGCACCATGCGCTTAGCCAAGTCTGATCTCCCATGCCTGTGTCCACACAGACACCAGGGCAGGGCGGCTGGGGCAGCCCCGCAGCCATCAGGGAGGACTAATCCTGCTCGTGGCTCTGCTGCTTTCCTGAGTGCCAACAACCACTCCGACATGGGGGTCTGCAGACACCCTCTGAATGTGGCACAGAGCATCAGCCTCTGCCACCCACTGCTGAGCGTGAGCACCTGGCAGATGTACCAGCATCTCCAGAAAAACAGGTCATAAATGGCTCCTCCCAGCAAATTCACGCATCTTTCTGTGGTCCTGGCCACTCTCCCAACAGGGCTGTAGCCGCAGCAGCTAAGTGGCCCCAAGGGGTGATCACTTCTCTCAAAACCTCATATCAATACCAGCGCTTCCAAAGGCCAAGAGGCAGCAGAGGGAGGATTTATTCCTCCTCAGCCTTTGGGCATCATTCTCAGCCACCCCACTGGCTGACACAGACTGCGTGCAGGTGGCTGCAGCGCCCTGCTCTGTCACCCGGTGCAGGAGTCTGTCCCACTGCCCGGCACAGCATGAGCACAGCTCACTGTGCCTCAGGAGCAGAGGGGCCCCCAGCAGGGATCACCCACATGTCCTCTCACCTGGACTGTTTGCCCCCACACCTGGCATGGCTGAGGAGCCTCCACCAGTCCTGCTGGCAGAGCTGCCCAGCAGGCACAGCCACTGCCCCACCACAGCTTCCTTGCACTTCCTTCTCCATGCTCCATTCCCATGCCTTCATGCCCATGTTCCCATGCTTCTCTTGGCATGTGCTCACCTTGGATGAGGCCGCTGGCAGCACCAGGGATGCCCTCGATCTCAGTGACGTTGTTCATGGTGAAGTACTCATCACAGGTCGCATTGAGGAAGCGGGAGGTGCAGAAAAGCTCCCAGAGCTTGGAGCCAACCGTCTCATTGCCCTCCACCACCATCTTGGTGCAGAGGTCAAAGCCGTGGCGTGAGAGGGTCCTGTTGCCCAGGAGGCAGATCCTGGGGGGACATGGGCTCTCAGCACTCAGCATTTCAATGCCCCAGCCCTGCTGCATCCCTGCAGGACCCCGTACTCACGGGAAGCTTGGCGGGTCAAAGGCTGATTTGATGACACCAGCATAGATGGCAAGGATGGAGAGGATGACACAGCCCAGGAAGACCAGGGCAAATTTGTTGACATATTTGACACCCACGAACACGACAGTGGCCATGCAGGTCAGCACACAGGTGCCGTACACACGCATGTTGTTGAGCATCGCGGCCGCCTCCCCGCTGGCGTCCTCTGCCTTGAAGATGGCCATGGCCGGGAAGATGTAGGCCTGGGAAAGAGTCATGGCATCACCACCTGGCTAACAGTCTGCAGAGGGGACCCCTTCAGGCCCCCTGCCCTGCCAGGAGCTGAGCCCATGGCACTGCAGAAGTCAAGGACCAGGTACGTACCAGCAAGATTTCGATGGTGCCCAGGATATACATGGCACCGGCAAAGGTGGTGCCCAGGTAGAAGCAGAGCCCCACAGCCCCACCAAACTCAGGTCCCAGGGAGCGTGAGATCATGTAGTAGGAGCCACCCGCTGTCAGAGAGAGCAAAAGTGGGTCCCAACCTGACCCCAGTGACACCCTCAGCCCTGCCAGGTATCCCCGAGGGCAGACTGGAGCCAGGATAGCCAGAGGCCCTGCTCCAGCACTGAGAAAGATGCAGAGCAGCAGGAGTGACCACATTGGCAGAGTCATTCCCCAGGAGCCCAGCACCAGGTGCTATGGCCAATGGTGCAGGTGTTCCCTGGACAGCAGACCGGAGCTGGAGCCCCAGGGACCTGGGCCATATCCTGCTCCATCCTCCCAGAGGAGCCCTTAGAGCCGGGCTGCCAGGATCGATGGTCCCGCTGCGGCAGCAGGATGATAAATAGCTTTAATTACACCCCGTGTTGGGCTGTCAGTGCTGTGCCCAGCCTGGCGCAGCTCACGGCTCCCCAGGGCTCTGCAGGGCTGGCATGTTCCGGGGGAGGCAGCCAGGGCACGCACCAGCCGGACCCCGTGGTGCCTCCCGCGGGGCAGAGCCCACACGCAGCAGTGTCCGGCGATGGGAGAGCCCAGCGCATCCCCCAGCCCGCAGCACCCAGCACGCCCTGCTCCCATCCTCCTGCCGTGCGGCTCCCGGCTCCCCGCGGCCTCGCCAGTCTGGCGGAGGGAGGAGCCGCGGCTGGCGGCTCTCGCTGCCATCTGCACCTCGCGGCTTTGGGGACGGGTGGCGGCTCCAGCGCTGCGCTCCCCCGGCCCTGGGGATCCCGCGCGGGCTGGTGGCAGAAGGCTGGGGAGCGGCTGGCGGCCCCGGGGGATGCTCTCTGGGAAAAGCCCCTGCAGGCACCCCACCCGGCAGGGACCGGCTGCCCGCACACGTGGCACACGCGTGGACGCGGGCTTGGCTCTACCTGGCACCACACCGTTGGTGGCGATCGCACTCATGGAAATGGCCGTCAGCATCGTCTGCGGGAAGAAACACAGTGTGCTCAGGAAGAGCTGGGCAGAGGGACAGGGGAGTGCAGGGGTGAGCTGGGGCCATCCTAGGACATGGGGCCCCCTGGGGCCACGCTGAGCTGTGCCACAGGGCAGGGATGCCCAGGGAGGATGAAGGAATAGATGTATGGGTGGGTGGGCAGGCAGGGCTGTTGGCTGGCAGCACAGCTGAGAGAGCTGAGGCCTTGGAGGGGCTGGCAGCACTGGGGGGGGCTCAGGCTGCCCAGGACACTGGATAAGGCCAGCCTCTTCCCAGCCTCTGCCCTGGGGTGACTGTCCTGGTGAGGTGTCTCTCTTCATGGTACCAGAGCAGGGGACCCCCATCACATCACCCTACATGACAGCTATGATCTGGGTCACCATTTGAGCACCATTCCACTGCTGATTCCTTTGGGAAGCTGAAAGCTTCTCCTTGCTCTAAGTGGGGCAGGAGCTAGGGCAGGGGCAGAAGCTGGGGCAGGAGCAGAGCAGGGCATGGTGAGGCTGGTAGCTAGTGCACCTGTCCAAAGTCCAGCCAGTCAGACTGGTGGCCCCCAGGCCATGGGCAAGGCCAATAGAGGCTTATCTGGCTCCAAAACTCACGCAGGAGCAGCAGAGGAAGACCATGCAGAATGACTCCATGATGCCAGCAATCCCCACCACCCAGGTGAGACGCAGGAAGAGGATGACTCCAAAGATGTTCTGGAGGCAGGGCAGGTAGACACCCATGAAGGTGCCCATCCGTGGGGCCTGTTGAGGCAACAGCAGTTATCAGGGCTCAGGGGCCTGGCTGGCAGAGGAGCAAGAGGTCCCACTCCTCCCACAAAGCAGCCAGGAGCACAGGGTAAAACTGCCCTGGTTGAGGCCAAGGGGTCCCCGTTTCCCAGGGCAGTCTATGGCCTGACACTACACAGGCATGGGCTGGAGAGGGAGGGAAGGTTACCTCTCTTCTAAGTCCTCACCTGCACCGGCTTCTTCTTGCCTCCATCGTTGTTCTCAGCCTCCTCATGCTCCCGGCTGCCCTGTGGCAGGTTGGTGTAATTGGCCAGTCCACTCAGCAGGGATGAGACCATAGGGCTTGTATCCATCTCCTCCTGTGTAGGGCAGATCCCGAGTCGTGAGGACAGTCCCTTGGGACCCCAGCCAACCCCAGAGACCTCACCAGATGCTACCCCACTGTCTGTCCCTTCAGGAACGGCTTTGGCAGTGCAGCAACCTTGGCCTGGGGCTCTGGTATGTCCCAGTGCCCGGGGTGCAGGTTGGGTGCTGTGGAACAGCTGCTTAGCTCAGCTCCCTCCCCCTGCCCCACTGCCTGCATGCCCTACCTCGAAGAGGGCCATGTTCTTGCCATCATACTCTTTGCCCTTCTCCAGGTCCGTGCTGTTAATGAAGGGGCTGCTCTCCTTGGGATTGCCATCGCCTGCGGAGACACCATTGAGTCAGTCAGGCAGCCCCTGCCCCACTCACACTTGGAGAACACCCACCCCACAGGGTCACAGCTGTGAGGGGTCACAGCTGCCCGTGGCTCCTGCAGGAGAGCTGCCAGGGCTGCGGGCACCATGCCCCAGCCACCAGCATCACTTCCCACATCACACACGGGCAGGGGCTGCCATCCCCAGGAGCCACACGCTGCCCTGCCCAGCCCTGCTGACGTGTGGACCCGCCGGAGCCCATCCACACAGTGAGGCAAGCAGAGCGGATCCGGAGGGAAGCCTCCGGCGGGATGCGCGGCAGCAATAACTCACGGCGCGGGGTGCGTGCGGGTGAGCGCACTCGTGCAGGTGAGCGCACTCGTGCAGGTGAGCGCACTCGTGCAGGTGAGCGCACTCGTGAGGGTGAGCGCACTCGTGAGGCTGAGCGCTCTCGGGCTGCCTTCCGCGCTGTGTTTGCACGGGTTGGGCGTGGACGGCCTCTCGGCATTAGCGCAGAGGGGATGGTCCCTGCCCAGTGCTTGGGAGTGAGGGGACTGGCCAAGTGTCTGGTCCTCCTCCCAGACACGCACCACAGGAGTGGGGGCCACAGGGTGGGAAGGCATCTGGAGGTGACATCACTGAGGACAGGTGATGCCCAGGGCAGTGGAGCCACCCACAGCAGTGTCAGGCCCATAGAACTACCAGGAGAGGGGCCACAGCCACTCTCTGCATTAATGACCTAGTGCAGAAGAAACCTGGAGTTGGCTTAATAGCGATGAAAACAGCTGAGCTGCAGAGCAGCAGAAATAAATCAAGCTGGAAATGGAGCAGCAGTGAAGATGGTACTGCTGGAGCAGCACAGCTCCAAGAGAAGGCCCAGAGCAGAGAGGGATCAGGTCATGGGGGCCAGGAGCTAAAGGACGCAGTCCTGGGCAGAGCAGCTGAGGAAGCACCCATGACACAGGTAAACCTGGGCAGTCAGTCTAGTCCCCAGCCCTCAGTGGGGGGAGAGAGGCTCCCTGCCACACACCCATCCCACCACCACAGCCCTGCAGCCAGAGCAGTCACACTGCCATTGGCCACCGCACTGCTGGGCAGGCTGCCCGCATGGGCAGGGTCACAGACCATCTTCACACTTTGGGGCCAGGGAGAGAACTGCTCCCTCCACCATCCTTTGGCATGGAGCCTATGAGTGCCCCAGGACAGAGGGATGGTGCCCTAGCAGTGTAGTCACCCACTCATGGTGGCAGTCACAAGACAGACCCTGCGACCATTTGGAGCATCCTGGTCCTTTGAAGATCACCATTCTCCTGCCAGTTGACTCATATTCGGGATCCTGGAAGCCCGTGTGCAGCGGTGATTCACCATCTGCAATTCCCTGGCAGACAGGGTGCTCCTGGCTGACCAGGAGGTGAAGCCTCAAGTGCTACAGGTGACACTGACCTGCGGGCTGGTCCCCAACTCCCACCATCCCTGAGCTCCTCTAACATGGGGCAGCAGGGCAGCAGTGTCCCCAAGGGCACAACCAAACACCAAGGCACAGCCCACAGGCTCCTCCTGTACAGGAATGGCTATGGCAGTGGCACTGGGACACGCTGGCCCACAGGTCCCTCGAGCTTCACTCTGAGTCCCCTTGGACACACACCCAGCACCCAGGCTGCACCACTGGCATGTGCCTGCCCTGTATCTCCCACAACAGGTCTCATCAAAAACCTCATGCGCTCCTTGCTCTGTGTTTGGTCTAAAGCCCCACTGAACCCTGCTGTCAAACAGCAATGGTGTGGGCTGACAGCCACCCACTTGCCACGGCTCTTGCCCACGTGCACCAGCTCTGGGGACCACATTGATGTGAAACATCCACCACGCTGACAGCCTCCAGGATGATGCTGCGGCCATCCCCAGTGTGGCAACACAAGGGTGCAAGAGCAGGGGTGGCTGGAGCTCATCTTCCCCTTGGGGCTGGGTGGCAGCGGGGGACACGGGCAGCTTGGCAGGGAGACGTGCTCGAAACGTGGCAAGGCTCTGGGACCCCTCCGGGAGAACGGAGCCCGCGGGGGCCTCGCCTCACCGCCTGGTACCCAGCCGACGACATCACCGTGCAAGTTTCCATGGCAACGGCGAGCCACGGCCGCCTCGGCTCCCGCTCTTATGTAACGGCGCAGGCAGCCGGACGCTGGCCCCACATGGCACCCGCGCCCCGGCCCACCGGAGCCTGATGGATGGCGCGGCCGGACCCCCGGCCCAGCCCACCCCGACCCCATGGGACTGGCCCTGCTCGGCTCCACACGACAGGCGCCAGCAGCACCCTGGGGTGCTCACGCTCCAACCCATGGCACCTCAACAGCACCCACAGCTCGCAGCCTCTCCGCCCCCGCCTCTGGCCAGCGCTCCTCACGCCGGGACCACGGCCCGTGCTGACATCACCCAGGCTGCTGGGGCTGGCCCGCGGCGCAGGAGCCCCTCGCCTGGTGATGATGCTGCGAGGATCAGCACTGGCAGAGGCCCCGGGCTGGTGAGCATGAGGATGCAGCACGGCTTGGGGAGACTCCCAGTCTCCCACGTCGCTCCAGCCCCACAGACTGGAAGGAGTTAAACACCAGGGCGCAGGGTCCCAGGTGACAAAGCGCTCCAGCTTCTGCTCCTGCTCCTGCTCCTGCCGGAGACCATTTTGCCGCAGCGGGGCTGGTGCAGCCTCTCCCCGGTAGCTGCCTCAGACCCGTGGTCTGAAGTCAGGGGCAGGCAGGGCAGGCAGGGCAATGCACCCGCCCCTCACCTGCCACTGCCGCGGCCAGCCCTGCCCAGCGGCACAAACGGGGTGCTGCCTCCCGGCCCTGGGGACACGTGGGACACTATCAGTGTCACTAACGCCCACGGGGCAGCCAGGACAGAGCAGCGCAGGGCCGGAGCGCTGGACGGGGCTAGCAGCCCCAAGGCCAGCAGCCGAGCCGGGAGAGAGTGTGAGCGGAGCAGAGCCGAGCCGTGCCAGGCTTCGATCCCGGCGCTCAGCCGCCCCCCTCCCCAGGGATCATTCAACATGAATCGGCCTTTTAATTTGCTGCGGTGGCTGGAAGGGCTGGCGGCGGGATCGCTGGCAGGAACCCGCAGCCCCGCCGTAGGCACCGCGCAGCCCCACTCTCGGCAGGGCTTCCACCAACCTGCCTGCCCGGGGCAGCCCAGAGCAAACGCGGCAGCGCCAAAGGACCGTCACAGCATCCTCGAAGCCCCCCAAGGCAGTGCTCAGGCAGAAGCACCAGCCACAATTTGATCTTCTAATGGCTTTTTGCTTAGCCCTAAATTGGGTTGGGTAGCGTCATGTCCCTTATCCCAAATCCTCCCTAATCGCTTTACACGGCGCAGGGCACTGAGCACTGGCTGGGGTAGCCCCAGCAGCCACCCCCCACGGGCTAATTAACCAGAGCTGCTGCCAAGGCTGCTACCCGACCAGGGCCGGCCCGTCCCCTCCGCAGCATCCAGAGCACAGCGAGCCCCAGCCAGGACATCGTGCACTAGGGCTGGGGCACTGCCCAGGAGGTGCAGTGGGTGAGAGGGGCCCCGACCTCACAGCCCTCCGAGCCTCCATCTGTACTCTACACGGGGCTGCTGACAGCTCCGGAATCCCCTGTGCCACCCCCACTCCGCTCCCCTCAGCCCCAGGGGCAGCAGCAGGGCGATGGCTGCTCACGGCACTAGGGATGGCCTGGGGCTGTCCTGGAGGTACACAGGACACCTTGACTTTTGCCACAGGACACCTGGACTCCCGGGGCTCCGCCTGCAGCAAGGGGCACCCCAGGGTGACCCCAGCAGGCCAGCGAGCACATGGGCGAGCACGTGGCCCTGGCTGATGTCCCCAGCTGCTGCCGTTTTGCAGGAGCTGCTGGCCAGGGAGCCACGCTGCTGTTCTGTCACCTCCGGCTATCAAGGGGACTTGGCTGTACACACACTGCCTGGTCTTGGGCTGTTGGCCTGGGGCGCCTAAGGCAGATGGGGATGGCCAAGGTATTCTTATGCAGTGGCATCTCTGCGCCCACACGGCTTCCTTCTACCCTGCACAGGAGTGCCTGACAGCTGCCCTGGGGAGGGCGGCCCCTGGAGAGGCCACACAGCCCTTGCAGCCCCACTGAGGCAGAGATCACTGATGATCAGAGCAGCGCTGGCTCGTGCTGGCAGTGTCACAGCAGAGCCAGCTCCAGCTGCAGCGTGGCAGGGGAGCAGGGGTGGGGGTCATGGGTGGGATGGTGGAGTAGGATGCTCCCCCCATCCCAGGGCTGCACTTTCCCCCTCCAGCCAGCAAGCACACCCAGTGGCCTTTTGGGCTGGATTCCTTCACTGCCTGACCCAAATTGGACCAACTGCTACTTCAGACCTATCCTCTTCCTTCCTAAACCCAGGATTATCCTCCCTTTGATCAGCCAGCCCTGCAGCACAGGATTTCCAGCACAGGCGTTTTGCCTGGCTGCATTTAAACAGCTTCCCAGATTCTCTGACAGTCCAAGCCCTGCCTTAGAAATGGTCATGGATACAAGTTCCAGCAAAGCTCCTGGTCCTGGATCTGGGCTCCCCAGGCATCGCAGTGCCCCCGGGCTGGGTGTCAGCATGGCACCCTGCAGTGGGGCTGCGGCTGACATCCCAACACTCCAACCAGAGCAGCGCAAGGTGCCAGCCCGGACACTGCAGGCAGCGGCCCTGCCTGCTCCCCAATCCCACCATCTCCCCACAGGGTCTGTGCTGGTCCAGCCCCTGTTGGGTTTCTGGGGCTGGAGCCCTTCCAGCCTTTGTCATGTGGCTCCAGAGCATGACCTGAGTGGGGACACTGCTAACCTTTCTGACAAATAATGCCTAAGTGGTACCCAGGGCTTCAGGGGTTGCGCTGGGCTTGGCAAGTTGCTGGACAGCCAGCACTGGAGCAGCCAGGACATGTGGAGGGGGCCCACTGGCATGCAGCAGCTTTGCCACCCAACGGGTTTTCCACGGTCCCTGCAGACAGACCTCATGATGGGAGTTCAGCTGACCCTTGGCATCGGGGGATAACCCAACCCCCCACTGCAACCACCCTTGTGTGGGGAGCTCAGCTGAGCCCCTTCTTACGACAATCCCTGCTCCCCCAAGCCCTCCAGGCCCTTGCTTCCTCCAGCCCTTCACCCACTGTCCCAAAGGGCACCATCTCACCAGGCTCAGCTCCAGGGACAGTCTGCCTGGTCCATCTGTAGTGGCACTGTGTCCAGCCCTCCTGCAAGACCCCAGCACGGCAGAAACGCCTGCTGCCATGCCGCTGGCACTGCTGCTATGGAAATCGGTGAGTGGGAGAGATCCTGGTGCTGCAGAGGGCAAGGGGAGGGCAAGTGGCCAGGGAAGGGCATGGCCGAGGGCCAGTGCGACAACCCCAGCCCAGCAAGGTGCTCTCAAAAGTCTCCTGCTATCCCTGACCTTGAGCAGAGTGGCAAATAAGCAAGCAAATAAACAGACTGGGGTCAGGAGAGTAGAGGAATACATAGAGCCCCTCTGTGGCTGTGCCCAGAGCCTCACTGTGGGCAGCCGGGACCCCCACAACCACTGCCATAGCCAGCCATGTGCTCCCGGCTGGGGCTTTGATAGACCCCACGAAGGGGCCCGGAGAACAGACTTGGCGGGGTCTGGGAGGGTCAGAGGGGCAGTGCAAGTCCTCCTGGGCACACACTGCATTCCCCTGGCTGCAGCCCACTCCTGTGCCCTGCAGGAACACCCGCAAGAATGGGGCCTACGCTCCCTGGCTGCCTGGTGATGGACGTGGTCCCGGGAGGAACGGGGACCCTCACACAGCTCAGTAGTGCCGGATGCCGGGAGGGGCGAAGGCCAAAGCCCCAGCAGGGACGGGGCTGCTGCGGGGCCGAGCGGCCCCTCGCCCACGACGGACAGCGGCCCTGCGCCGGGGCTGCGCCAGGGCTGCAGCGGGACGGGGCACAGCGCGGCGCGGCACGGACCGGACCGGCTCGACTCGGCACGACGGGGATCGCTTTGGTTCAGCTGGGCTCGGCCCCGGGACGAACGGCTCCTGCGGCCCCGGAGCAGGGCCCGGGCGGCCACTTCAGCACCGCGGACAGAGGCGGCGGGTCCGGGGGGCGGCAGGGAGTGGGGGGCGGGAGCGGAGAAGGGAGCGGGGGGCGGCTGCCCGGGATGGAGAGGCGGCTGCCGGAGATGGGGGGGCGGCAGAGGAGAGG